TTTCAGGTATCTACTGGGGGCTTGGAACGTGTGCCCTACATCTGAGTGGCTATATATTTTGGAGGCACCAGCTCTAGAAGTAGATAGTGTTCTGGAAAGTGGTTGGTTCTGCCACCCCTTGTTTCCTCACAGGGAACTGGAATGGGGATGTTGGTGTTTGAAGTTAGAATGCTTTTGTTACAGGCTAGAGAGGGATGTGAATTTCAATATGGGCTGAACACAGGCAAGAGAATGAATTGTGCATGGTTGGTCCATTTGTCGTGGAACTAATGGTTCTGGTTAGCTTTATCCAGAGAAGGTTTAGGTTTCCCACTGAGCCTCTACTGGTTTGGAAAATAATACCAATTGATCATCAATCTCATGAGTTGGTGAGGCGTTGGTAAGGCGTTTATATTGGCTCTTTAGTGATTCTACAATGTAGCATTTTTGTGCTCTTTCTGATAAAATAATTTTGTTTGTAGTTGTAATGAAATTGATCCTAAATAGAGTTTCTGTTTCTGGTGATATCACTTCTGAGGGAGAAGTCTATATAAAGGTAAATATATACTAGAGATGCATGTCCTGTTAGGAGGAATTACCTGTAAGAAGAAGGCATTGGTGATTGCTGGCTTGCTTTTCCTTCCCTTCAAATTAAATTACCTAGATTAGCATTGTACGCTGACTGTACTGATGGATTGATTATGGGGAGTTATTATCCGTTCTAAAAAAATTTCTTTCAAAAAAAAAAAATGGGCTGGGAATGTGGCTCAAGCGGTAGTGCGCTCGCCTGGCATGCGTGCGGCCTGGGTTCGATCCTCAGCACCACGTACAAACAAAGATGTTGTGTCTGCTGAAAACTAAAAAATAAATAATAAAAATAAATAAAGAAAGAATTTTCTTTCATAAATACTGTGCTGCAAGCAGTTTCTTCCTTTCAGCCTGGAGAACCTGTCACATGGCAATATTTATATCCTTTGTCCTTGGTGGTTTGTACAGCTGACAGTGTTGTGGGAGGGAGATGTGCTTTTTCTCCCGAAGGCAGCCTTTGTTTTTAAAAATCATAGCTGGCTTGGCTGCAGCATTATTAGGATGGTAGCTCTGTCCTCAAGCCTTTATGGCTGTTTATTACAAATTTAAAATTTTGCTTTCCAGGGTTCTTAGCAGTTGGAATGGATACCTCAGCTGGAAGAGTTGGGTCTGCTTTCAGGGTTCTGACTGAAATTTGCTGTACAGTTACCTGCGGAGCATTGCCTTGTGCCTTGAGGAAAGACCTAGCATAAAGAATAAAGTGGGTTCCTTGCCTCAGAACAGCCATGCTCCCCTGGGAGAGGCTGCAGAGCAAGACCTGAGACCACTGGGCACTTACTTCTGTGTCAAACAGCATGTTTGTTGCTATACGTGTTTTGTTTAATGCTCAAAACAAGCTTATTTTCCTTTTAGAATTGAGGAAATTTAAGTTCTCAGCATTGTTAAGTAACTCAGTTAAAGATGCAGCCTGACATGCTGACATGTATCCTCTGCTCTCTCCCAGGTGGTTGACATGTGGGCCAGTAGTGCTGAGGTAGAGCCAGCCTGGCCTCTGCCCCGCTTGAGCATGCCTCCCTTCATTGCATGCCACTTCAGTCCAGGAAGGCAGTGGGTGCATGTTGCTGACCTCTGGGCCATTTGTTTCCTACTCTCCTTAAAGAAAAATAGTCAGCACCCCTCCCTGTGGAGGCAGAGATCCATTTTGAGTCCTGCTCTGATGGCTCGGGCTGGCACATCCCAGTCCTGCTCCTAGCAGGCTGGGTGACTTAGCCCCTATGTGCCATCTCTTCTGTTTCTCCTCATTTGGTGGTGGTGGTGATCACACCCAACTCTTTATTTTGGGGAATTAAGTATGAAACTCTTAGTACCTGACATGTAGTAAACCCTTTTTGTATGATGATGATGATGATAATAATAATAATAATAATAATAATTTGTTAGTTTTGTCCTTACACTCCAGTGTTCAGGTTCAGGAACTTGATTTTTTTCAATTTTATCAGTTTTTTTTTTAATTTTAGTTGTAGGGGGAAACAGTATCTTTATTTTATTATTTTATGTGGTGCTGAGGATCGAACCCAGTGCCTCACACATGCAAGGCAAGTGCTCAACCACTAATCTACAACCCCAGCCCCATTTATCAGGTTTGATAAGATTCTATGCACTTACATTAGCCAAACTTAGGAATGGCCAAATAATTGAACAGAATGTTAACCTATTAATTTATTAAGGGAATAGTCTGGTCATAGGTATACTTAATGTTTTAGTCAGCTTTTTCATTGTGTGGTCCAAGATCTGATAAGAACAGTGTGTAGAGGGGGCTGGGATTGTGGCTCAGCAGTTGAGCGCTCGCCTAGCACGGGCGGGAGCCGGGTTCGATTCTCAGCACCACATAAAAATAAAGGCATTGTGTTGTGTCCATCTACAAAAAAAAAAAAAAAAAAAAATTCTCTCTCTCTCTCTCTTTAAAAAAAAAAAAAAAAAACAGTGTAGAGAAGGAAAAGTCTATTTTGGCTCATGATTTCAGAAGTTCAGTCCCTGGTCATATAACACAGTCATTTCTTACGTTGTCACACATGAGTTTCTGGGGAACACCTCGTATCTAAACTTTAACAGCTGCTTCTGTGTGATGTCAAACTTATTAACATTCCTGGAATACAAATTTGAAATCAAATCGAAGGTAGTTTTCATTGTATACTTGACTCAAGTTGTAAGGCCTGGAGCGTGGTCTCATCAGACCCCTCAGGTTAGTGCTTGTGCTTCTCTATACAAGTGCTGTGGGCGGGGGCACTTGCTCTGCCCCTCTGACTGGCTGTGTTTCCCCTTTCCTCCTAGCATTATAGGCAAGGTTGGAAACTGAAGCATTAGGGAGGAGGTTTATATCTGCTGTTTCCTTTTCACTGTAAAGGGTAGTGATCTGTCTAAGGAATTATGAGAAGTTAGGTGGACTTCTCCACCTTCCTGTATTTGTCATTATCCATTCACTCTCTATCCTGCTAATGCCGATGGAGGGTCTCCCCACCCCACTGCTGGTGATGTCGCTTTTCTGATTCTTCAGCGTCTCCTAGCCTGGGATCCCTTGTTGACTGCTCTCAGGAAGGTTGGTACCTTCATGTTCTTTGGGGTTGTGCTGCAGATAATGTGAAGGCTCTGCTTACAGGATGGCCGAGTGTCATGGGGCTGGTGGACCCTTTTGGTGTCACTTCTGTCAAGAGGAACGTGCTTCTGCCAGCTCACCTTTGAGACTTTGGGGTGGTGGCAGTAGCAGTCTCACATTCTTGGGATGAGAATACAGCTTCCATAGGAAAGCTTATATCTATATAACTAAACATTATAGTAATTTTGGAGCTGGTGAAGGAGAGTGGACTCTGAAATGGAAGGTTCTTGAATGGAAGGAAAGCTGAACAGGGTGCGTGAGAGTGTCTGGCAAGGGCCTGGGGTAGCTTGGTGTTGACCAGCTTAGGCCCACAGGTTGCAATTGAGCCTCCTCTCACGTGCTGTCACTTGGAGGTTCCAGGGTTGCCAGAGCAACATGAGACTTTGAAAGGCCTATCAGTTGAGTTTGCTTTGTTACTCTATCCATACCAAAGAGGTGGTTGCTAATAATCTCTGAGAAACCAGAGCAGGACTCCTACTAATGCAGCTTCTACCTAGCTAAGTGAGGAAGCTTTCTCAAGTCCACCCCACAATGGGGACCCTGCCTCCCCCAAATCCCCTGGCACCTGGGGAATGGGGTGGGCATGATGGAGCAGGTCTAGGGTGAACAGGCCCAGAGAAGATTTGAGCTGCAAGTGTGCTTTACTGTCTTGCTTCCTGATTTTATTTTCATGTTGTTTATACAATTGTAAACCCCTCTCCAGTATCCCCTATTTCTCTTTAAATAAGTACTTCTTAGTTTATAAATAACCATGAAGAAAAGACCAGTGGACTGGGGAGAAATAGAGGCTCAGATGGGCCTGGCTCTGGGCCCCAGGTCAGATTGACTTCTGAGAGAAGGGGAAGCTTCCATGGAGTGTGCAGCCAAGGGTGGATGTGATTCCACTTAGCAGGGTTGGGATGAGGGTTTCGGGGGGAGTGTTTAAAACAAATTCTTGGTTAGATTCTGGTTGGTTCTTGAGAAAGTACTAACCAGAGTGAGAGGTGAGAGGGGTCAAGGGTGAGCCTAGTCCCTCCTCCTGCTGGCCACCGTGGGAGTGGCCTGGCCTTGGAAATGCTCCTGGGAACCCCCTCAGGAATTGTGCTTCTGCGCTCTAGGGAGAAGCCAAAGAGGGTGTCTCCTGTGCAGGCCTCAGCCATACAGCAGGATTGTGCAGGGACTCCCTGGGCTGGGTTTGCTGTGGCTTTTCTCTACAAGTGAGACTTTGAGACAAGGATCAAGGGCATTGTTTGTCTAGGGTGAGTAGTTCATGCTGGGAATTTGTTACACTCGTACTCCATGAAAAGTTGAGAATTCCATTCATCCACAGTGGTAGCCATACTGTGGCTGACATATCCCCCTTACTTTCAGAAGAGAATGGCTCAGAAGCTCAGAGCTGGGCTCAGAGCACAGGGGCAGCACAGGCTGGGCTTCGGAGTGCAGTGGCTCTGGGTTGTAGTTCTGGGTCTGTCTCACACCTTTCTTCTCAAGCAGAGACTCAAAGAGTTGGTGATTGAAGCAAACTCCCCAGCTCTTTTGTGGTGGAGAAGTAGACAGTGTACGCCACATGTACCTGCGTTGGGGAGGACCAGTGAAGCTGGCTGTCAACTTTAGTTTCCTCATAGCCATTGTTTTCCATCTGGGCAGTGAGGCAGTGAGAACCTTAAACAGCTTGTCCAGAGTCACTTAAACTCGAAGATTAAAATCTCATATTAATTTGTGCCTCAGGTGTTTATGTAAAGAAACATTTTTAGAAAGTGATGACTAATCTTTTTTACTTATTATGCATAATTATCAAAAGTGAATCTCTTCAAAGTGTTATTTTTTTCAAATTTTTTTTTTTTTTTTTTTTTTTTTTTAGGATCTGGAGTTCCATGGAGTGATGAGATTTTATTTTCAAGATAAAGCTGCTGGAAACTTTGCCACAAAATGCATCCGCGTTTCTAGCACTGCTACCACCCAAGATGTGATTGAAACTCTGGCAGAGAAATTCCGCCCCGACATGCGCATGCTGTCGTCTCCCAAGTATTCACTGTATGAAGTGCACGTCAGCGGAGGTTGGTGTTTGCAGAGCATTTGCTAGGAGGCATCCCTGACCTGGAGTGCACAGCTTGCACTGTGCATTTCAATCACCATAGCCCTCTGCCTCCTTTTTGCATGGGCGGGGAGTGATGGGTGGGTTGGCAACAGTTCTTATGCCTGGGAAGTTCCCAGCGCCTATGCTCACTGGAAGTAGAATGAACATTTCGGTTTCATGAAGTGCTTGCTTCTGTGAAGGAAGGGGCATGACAGTTGATGGCTCATGCTGTGCAGCATGTCTTGTGTTGCCTGCATGGTGGTGGGGTGCTTCGTGCCTTTGGAGGGTGTGCCTGGTATACAGTTGTGCTTCTGTAACTAGCTGTGGCCAGTCAGATGTTTGTGGTGTAAGTTGTGGGTCTTGCTGTCGTGTTTCTGCCTGGTGAGCAACATGCTTTCCTTGTTCTCCAGGCTGTGTTGTGTATCTCAAGGAAAGTCCCCTGACGTAGCTGTCATTCCTCCTTGACTGAACGTTGGAAATTGTTACATTCTGTAAGATTATGTACAGCTTAACTATACCAAATGACAACTCCAGTTGGATTGATTAGAAATGTAGAAATTTATACAATTTTTATAGGTGTTGTATGAACTGTGGAAAAAGCACAGGATACAGTTAGTTAGTTCAGCAAGTTAAAGGATATGTTTGACACAACCCCGTTGTAAATTTTAACTACAAATCTTTTCTGAACATAATCCATTTTTTTCAGATATACAGCTTTCTTTGTGCATTTGAATTTGGACTGAGATGTTTGTCATGGCGGATTTCCAGATGTAGGGTACCCTTTGCCCAGTGGTATAGGAGGTGGGCCATGTTCATTACTTTTTAAGGATTTGAGCATATTCCCTGTATAAATAATACCCAAACTAAACTTGGCAATAGAGAATGTTTGCAATTTTGGGTATTTTTTCTGAGGTTGAGTTCTTCTTTTATCTTAGAACCTTTGTTACAAAGAAAAGAAGATATCTGTCTTAAATGCTTTTTCCATCCATGCTGTCTGGTTATTTGGTCCTACCAAAGTCTCTGGAGTAATACGATGAAAGACTGGTATTTGATATCTAAAAGTTGAATGGTTTCAACTTTTTTCCTTTAAACTTTCTATGATGTTTTTAATTAAAAAGTAAAATAGGTATTTTTTGTTTTTGTTTTTGTTTTTTTGGTATGGGCTAAACAAAATAAAGGAATTTCAAGGCAAAGGAAGTGCTTTCCCTAGCCCTTTGGTGTCCTTGCCTGCTCTATGTATTGCACCGGACCTCAGACCTGGGAATCCAAGCACACATGTTTTCAGGGTTCCCTGAGTCCTTAGTATCTCAGTGATTTTTTTTTTAATGACCCCACTAGGCCAAAGGAAATACACAGTAGTCCAGTTTACTAAATAGGTAGACTCTGACAATTGGTGCATACTTAGTTAATAATCTGGTAGATGGTTGAAAAAAAATAGCACACATAAAATGGGAAGCACACTGAGCTTTTCATCTCATTCTTATCACAACTGCTGCTATTGATGGGGGGTGTCTCCTGGGTCTGCCAAACCTGTCACACTCTGGCTGTCACTTCCTGTGCATGTGGGTTTTCAGACAGTACTCACTTATTTCAGCATCCACGGTGCTGACCAAGGTGATGCTGCAGAGTCAACATAGTCCTGGAGTCAGGGTTCTCTTGGTGCCTGGCAGGTGTACTTGGGTCCTTCAAACCTTTCAGTGCTCCCCAGTAGCCTGTTGTCACAGGGCAACTCATCATGTCTACCTGCCAGCCCTTGTGGGATAACTCTGGGGTCAGACCCTTATGTCACCCACCAGGGAAACTCCACTTTTATTCTCTTTCTGTATAAGATTCCTCATAGGAATTTAAGTGGAAACATAAAAGATTATGCAAATAAAAAAATCATGAAAAACTAAGGCAGAAGGACTTTTTAGTGACTAAAGTGCAGAGGGGCCCAGAGCACCTTAAGTTTAAATTTAGTGATTTCTCACCATGCTTTAAGAACAGCCCACCTTTATTTTGTTTTACTTTCATGATTTAGTTTTAATGTTAGTTATGACATCATGAGGAATTTCAAACTAGTATAAATTTTGTAACCAGAACAGTTTGATAATTCTTGCTTATGCAAGAATTCAAATTTGATTCTTTTTTTGATACCAGGAATTGAACCCAGAGGTACTTACCACTGAGTCACAACCTGTTTAATTTTTACCCAACCTGTTTACTTTTTTAAATTTTGACACAGGGCCTCACTATAAGTTGCTGAGGCTGTGTTTGAACATGTGATCCTCCTGCTTCAGTTTCCCAAGCTGCTGGGATTACAGGTGTGTGCCACCACACCTGACCAAATTTATTGATTTTTATCACTAGTTTATTAAGCTGATTTTCAGTTGATTAATTCATAACCTATTATTCCTGCATTCTGATATGTTGCCTTACTATTTGTATATAGTGTTTACTAAGAACCTCTGGAAGTCTAGCTCTTTCTGGCATGCTTGCCTCCTTTGTCACAGTGAGCCTGTGGCTGGCCTCATGGTGGTGGGTCTTGATATGGTCATCTGGGTCCTCTGTGCAGCCTTGGTGAGAGCACCATCATGTCGTCATCCATCATTGTGGTGCCATCCCTTGCTGGGGATGTTAGTGCTTTTGTAGAATCTTAATTTGCCATGGCATTGGCAGTATTGATCAGATGACAGTTCTCACCTGGTGTGGGGCTGTGCTCATGCCGGTGCCCAGAGTTCTGCCACACTGCCTGCCTGTCTTTCTGACCTTCTCTGGAGCATCTTACACCTTTCCTTCCCTTCAAGTCCTGGCTGGGTCTATGTTCTAGCGGGGCTCTTCGTTGGAGAACCCTAGTCCAGGGTGGCTCTGAAGTGCCTCTCCTGGTGTGTTCACTGATGTGTTATCACCTACACCAGAGCCTGTTACCCAGAGATGCGTAATGCCTATAGCAAGCCCCTTAAAATAACTCCACTTCAATCTGAAAACATTGTACAGTGAACAGTGCCAAAAGAATTTTTGTGTGTGTGTGTGTGTGTGGTATTGGGGATTGAACCCAGGGCCTTGTGCATGCAAGGCAAGCACTCTACCAACTGAGCTATATCCCCAGCCCTGCAAAAGCATTTTGATAGAGACCTTGTTTGAGAAATGAGGTCAATCTCAAATTTAACAGTGTTTTAGTGTCACGTACAGGCCAGTTCACAAAACAATCTTTAGTCCTGGCTCTGCTTCTTTACTTTCTGTGCCATTGTGGAGCCTGGTTATGAGGAGCAGCCTTGGCCCATCATGGAACCAGCACGCCTCACTGCTCTTGCAGCCTTCAGGAGCTAGACCTTTCTCCTGTCACCGCCCTTGCCAGCTATCTCTTTAACTAAAGAGATATTTGCTGACTGACTAGCACCATGTAATCTCACTCTGTGCAGAATTTGCACCTACCCGACAGTGGCTGAGTGTGTGCACTGCCTGTGCTCCTGGTGATGATGTGCTGGCCAGCCCGCTATGCAGTGGCAAAGCTGGACACGGGAGGATGCCCATAGGAGAGGGAATCTGTCCCCTGCCTTACCAGATACTTTGGTTTTATGATGAGTTTCCTTTATTCAAGCCTGGGTGTACTGGGTCCTCCTGTTCACAAGGGTTGTAAAGCATTGTGTAGGGAGGAAGCTTTGTACAGGTGCTTCTGCAGCAGGAATTCCTGGAAGAGTTCATGTTCTATCAAATGTATGCCAGGGCAGACTTCACAAGAAAGAAAAAATGGGCAGGTTATTCAAAAACTATTTAAATTTGTAGCAATGGCTATAACAAAGTAACAGGAAAAGCATGGTGAATGGGTTTCTCCAGGGATGAGGACACCTGGGAATGTGCTCTTAGAGTTAGGTGGACTGGCCCTGCTCCTTAGTCTTTTCCCTGCTGAGTGATGCTGTGCCTGCTCCATCCTTCAGGGCCTTCTCCCTGGAGCCTGCACCCCACCATAGGCTTCTGGATTTTGGAAATGTCAGGCTCTGTGGAGCACTTGGGAATTGCTCCCTGGGGGACTCAGTGCACCAGTCATGCACTTCACTGGAACACAGAGAAAGGCATGGCAGCTTTCTGGTGAAGGCGAGCTGAGGGTCGAGATTGGGAAGCTTCAGAGATGTATATGCAGGTAGGAAGAGCAGAAGGTCACTGCAGTCACTTCTACCCTGATTGTGTGCTATTGCTGTTGCTTGTAGGATGTAACATTAAGGTAGTAAGCCTGTGGAACTTCTGCATTGTATTAACATCATTTTCTTATTTTCTAGTTGCATAAGAGATGATTTGACTTCAGAAATAAGGTTACAGCGGAGTTGTGTTTACTTTATCCTAGTCCATGTATATTTCTCCTTTTTTTCCCAGTTATATCTGAACAAGGGGAATGCCCCTGTCAGTACCTGGCACTGGTCATGGTAATGGGCATACAGTATTGACAGAATACTAAGCACTGATTTGACATTCTGAACAGTGCATTTCAGTCTGTCAACAGATCCTTGGGGGAATAAAATACTTTATAAAATTAAATTATATGACTTGGCCAATTATTGTGCTGATGCCATGAAATAACTACGGCATATTTTTTTTTTCCATTTCATGTTTGAAGAAGAAAGAAGATTGGACACTGATGAGAAGCCTCTAGTTGTGCAGTTGAATTGGAACAAAGATGACCGGGAAGGCAGATTTGTGCTCAAGAATGAGAACGACGCAGCCCCTGCTAAGGTGGCGCCTCCCTATCTCATGCTGACTGTGGCTGGGTGGGAGCAAACCGGATTGAATTTTTGTTACAGGAGCTCCTTCTATTTGTCTTCTCTCCCTAAATCCCTCTACTGTCCTCCTAGAAAAGGACATAAAAGCAGCCTGATGGTGTCTGCTTTACCCTTCATTTCATCTAGTAGCCCCAGATGCTGCTGCTCACTTCTTGAAAGAGGAGTAAGTTTTTGTGACTGAGTTAGTGATCAAGTTATCACCTTCCATTCTTTCCCCAAGCTGTAAAATCAGAATTGCTTTAATGAGAATCAGGAAGGAAGAGGAAGCTCTGATAATCTATTTATAGTGAACTTTCAGACGCCACTGCAAAAGGCACATGACAACCTTCCACAGTGCACGAGTGAGGTTAGGAATCTGCGAACTCTTGGTGTTCTTAGACGATGGAGGGATGATTCTGAAACTGGAGTTTGGGATGAAACTAGATTCTCCACTTATGCTGACAGGTAGGCACTGCACAGGCTGCAGGCTCTGCAGCCAAGAAATGTGCTGCAGCTCTTAAAGGCCAGCTATGCCCTTCGGTGTTGAGGCATACCTCAGCAGCTCATCGCCAATATTTTCTTTCTGAGTTCTTGTCTTGCAGATTTGAAAAATGAAATCCACAGATGAGGGTGAGTGAGTGTAAGAACAGGATTTATTCAAGTGTGAATAGAAACACAACTCCTGCAGGGTGAAAGGGGATTCCCATATGGGAGTGTGTTAGTGTAAGGGTTTATATATCACTTGGGTCAATATTTTTGGTTCAGATTTATGCTAATCAGGGTTTGGAAAAGTACCAGCCCAGACTCACCTGCAGTCCTTTCCAGGTCTGTTCCACTTTCATTTTTCCACTGCTCATGGGGAAGTAAGAGGTTGAGGTTATTGGATTATAGAAGCTTGGTGGTTCCGAGCTGTGGTGCTGTGTGGAGCGGTCTTCTGCAATGGGCGTCTGCACTAGGCCTAGGCTGAGCCATAGCTGGGTGACATGTCAGCATGCCCTGGCTCACCTTGGCACTGGCCTGCTGTGCCTCAGGCCTGCGCCAGTCATGCTTCACTGCTTTGGAAGGGATTATTGGGTTGGCTGTGTGGCTGGCGGCCAGGGAGCCGTGTCAGTTCTAAATCTTGCCTGGCTCATCTGGAATTTCTGTACTACTGTTCTTTTTTCTGTGGAATACTAGAAATGTTGATATAATTTCAAAATACTACATAATCTTTGCTAAATCAGATAGCATCTTTCATAGGAATTCAGTATTAGCAAGCAGTAGCAAATGCAAAGTTCAGAGGACTTTGAGGGATTCTTCTGTTCAACCCCCTGTACACTGAGAGAGACTGTCATTGCTCACTCACAGTGGCAGAACACTTTCCTTCTGCGTGAGGCCAGTGTTGCTTGCTGATCCTCACACCTATGCATGGGGTCTTGGATTTCCTCGTGGCCGTGTTTAGTGACTTGACTGTACCTGAAGTGATGCACACAGGTTCGAATGGGTTTCTGTGGTCCTGCACTCACATTTCATTTCATCCTTGTGTTGTGATTTCAGCTGGTGCTGTGCATTCTGTTCACTTTGCAGTGGGCCACAAACCTTCATTGCCAGGTGCAAATTCTTCTTAGGACCAGTGCAATGTAAAAGATTCCAGAATGGAAACAGGAACATGAATGTTCTCTACTCCCCCATCTTAGAAAGTAAAAGGCAGTTTTCTCTCCAGTACTTTATCTTTTTCTTCTTTTTAAAATTCTTCACCTGTTAAGTTTCCACCTAAAAATAATGTGGCTATGTGGGACGGCCTTTTCGTAGTTGAAAAGCAGATTAAGAACAAGCAAACACATACAAGGCCTGAAAAAGCAGTCAGGCGTTTTGCAGAAAGCTGATAAGTAGGACCCTGGTTTGTGAAAGCCACTTATTATGACTACTCTTAACATTTCTCCTGAAGTTAAAGAAAAGTACCTACTAAGCAGATGGTGATTTAGACTCCTCATTTCTATGTTTTATTAGGCTCCTTTTACTGAGGTTACTTTATGGTAACTTATTGGAGTTTTAGTCATTAAAAGTCAGATTTCATGAATCACACCCCAGTGTTCTTACTAGCTTTGAGTGTTTGTTTGCCTGCTTGCTCAATTAGTTTGAAAGTTAGGTAAATTTATATACAATTGAACACACAGACTCGAGTATGTAATTCACTTGGTTTTGAAAAATTGCCTGTGTCACTCTAGGCTCACTCACTGTATGTAATGTCCCCACACCCCAGAGTTCACCTGTTCCCGTAGCTCTGGTTTGAGATGCTGTATGTGGAGAAGAAAGCCTCCCCACAGGGAACATTATGCTATCCTGGGTAGTGGCTAACGAGTGACGATGTTACTTCTATCAGAAGGTTCAAAGTAATGGACCAGAAAAGCAGGAGAAAGAAGGTGTTATACAGAACTTCAAGAGAACTCTCTCAAAGAAAGAAAAGAAAGAAAAAAAGAAGAGAGAAAAGGAGGCCTTGAGACAGATGTCTGATAAGGAGGATGGACCTTCTCGAGGGGATGACAGGTGGGTTTGCTCTGGAAGTATTCCCATTGCTCTGCACTGCAAGCAGATGCTCCTTTTTTTTAAAATATTTTTAGTTGTAGATGGACCCAATACCTTTATTTTATTTTTTTTCATTTTTATGTGGTGCTGAGGATCGAACCCAGTGCCTTCCATGTACTAGGCAAGTGCTCTACTACTGAACTATAGCCCAGCCCACAGATGTTCTTAATGCAACTGGCTTTGGCCTTCCCAGAGGGCTATGGGAAGGATGCAGATTGACCCACAAAGTTAGGGAGTAAACGGGTCTTACTTAAGGAAGGTCCCTGAGGTTAGAAGCCTGCCCACCCTCCTGCTCACCCCAGCATACATGACTGAGGTGCCTGTTTCCTGAGTGGAGCACTGCTGCCAGAGGCCTCATCTGGAATTGGGCGGCAGGGTTTCCTGTGTGCCTCGGGACACTGATGTCTGGTAGAAGGGGCAAGGCCAGGGAAAAGCAGGTTTTCCCTTTGAAGGTTCAGACACATCAAGTCCCCCATTCCTGCCCTGTTACTCCAGCCTATGGTGGGTGCACTTTATCTGTCCCAAGATATTTGAGCTCCTGAGCTCAGAGATGAGGGAATAAGGGAAATCTCTGTGTTTCTGCATAACAGAAAGACATGTAGGTCACATCCTAGACTTTCCTTAGGTAGACTCTAGTTCCCAGCGTGCACTCTGCCCCATCCAGTTGCTAGTTCAACCTGCCCTTGGGCAGCTTTTTGTGCCCTGGTATTGAATGCATTGTACTATGTATGTTACATGGCCAAGTAAGGAACATACACTTCAGAAAGTCAGACAGCAGATGGGCCGGAACCCATGAGGAACCCAAGAGAAGCTAATCCTGTCTGTTTTTCCGTACAAATATATATACTTAAAGTGTTTACATAGAAGATTTTTAAACAAGTACAATCACAGCTTTTTCAACTGGAACTTTTTACATGGTATTTTTCCTGTATATATGTATTTCATAAAAACAGTTCTAAGATTGTATGGCATTCTGTCACATGGTTCTTCCATCATTTATGTACCTGATTCTTTTTTAATGTACCTGTATTTGTTTGTAGCCCACCTCCCTACCCTAGGTTTGAATAATGACCCAGTGAACATCCTTCTGGTATTACAGGCACTCACCCAATTGCTTCTGGGGAGGTACCGAGGGACAGTGGGTAGGAGCAGGTCTGCGTGTCTCCTTGGGAGATTTCCAGGACTGTGACTTGGGTATTCAGCTTGTTGGCTGACCACCCCTTCTCATTTTCTTACATGCTTACACCTCTTACCTCTTGGATCAGTGTATTACCTCTGTGTTACATGATATTCTCCACATACTAAATTTAATGTATTATTCAAAAGTTAACATCTTTCATGTGTTCATTAGCCATTTATATTTTTGTGGTGCAGTGGTCTCCTTGAGTTTGTTTTCTTCCCACTTTTTAGAATGAGTTGATATTTTCTGTGTGTCCATGAATGATGTGTCCTTTAGAGTAGAATTTGCGCCTATTTGAGATATAGCAAAACTAGTTTAATAAGCAGTTCAGGGATATAATCACTTGGGCACAGTGTAGTAGGCTGTATTTAATGTGGTTGTACGGAAGAAGAAATTTGCATAGATCAATTGGTCATTTATAAAAAAAAGAAAAGTCTTGTTTAAAACTAATGCCTTATGGTTTGCTGTGTTTGTCAGTTTAGGTTTTGAGACGATGTATAATTTGATTTAGAAAAAGAGCTACTTAAAATGAGTTATATTGTTAACTTGATTAATTAAAATTTCATTTTTAATTATGAAAATTACGTATTTAGGTGTATTTATTAATAGCATATCACTTTTTCCATTTTGACTTAATATTTAGTTTTCTGCTCATCACTCTGTGTAGTTGATTCCTTTACAGAAATTGTTAGAACAATTTCCTTTTGAAATCTGAACTTTAGGAAAGTGATGTTGGTAAATCTTTTAGGTTTTACAAAATCATGAGATTTCACTAATTTGAGATCTTGAAGATTTATTATAATTTTAAATAAGATTCTTACTTAAGTGCAATCAATCCTATAATTATTTCTCATGGTTAGAAAGTTGTGATATAATATCATTCATTTGGTTAGTTTTAGGATAACAATAGTCAGAATTTCTTTAATGTATACTCTATAGATTTTCCTTTTGTTATTGAGTATACAGCACTTAAGTTGTGTGACCTAATGATAAGGATTTTGTTGAAGATATCTGCTTAATTTGGTATATTATCGAGAGAGTATATTCTCTATTTCATAGTAATTGATTAGCACATGGTGAGTATACACAACTTTTCCATGGGGTAAGAGGTAGCCCAGTAGCATTTACTCTTTTGATATCATATAGTTTTGTGTTACAGTGGAAAAAGGCTTAAAGTTCTGTTACCATTTCTTTCCTCAGTGAGAATTCCCGACTGGCTGCTGAGGTATACAAGGACATGCCGGAAACCAGCTTTACGCGAACCATTTCTAATCCTGAAGTGGTTATGAAACGACGGCGGCAGCAAAAGCTGGAGAAGAGGATGCAGGAGTTCCGCAGCTCAGATGGGAGGCCCGATTCAGGTACACACCAAGTTGGTTTTCTGTCTGTGTGCGACACCAAGCAGATCTGCAGTAACAACAAGCAGATCTGTGCACTCTCTTGGGTAAAAGAATTCTCTTCCATAAAGAAATAGCCAGTTACGTATTTTCCCCCAGCATAACTTAAAAAAAAAAAAATTTTTAGAGTATTTCAGATATATAAAAAGAAGAGAAAGAGGTAGTGAACACTCATGCACTTATAGAATTTCAGTGATCAACAACCCTTTTCTTCTTTTCTGCAATATACGTTGCTCCATTCCCAAACTATTATTTTGTATAACTCCAATACCATTATTACATATAAAAAAATTGATAGTAATTTTTTACTCTGATCGAATAACATTGTTTCCATTTTCCCAGCTGTCTCTGGTAATTCCTTTAGTTGGAGTGGGAACCAAGTGACACACATGAAAATTGATTAATGTTTATTTGAATTAGGATCCAGAAGTGACTTACACATTGATTAATATGCCTTTGAAGTTTTTTACAGTAAAATTCCCTTTCTTCCCTTACATTTTACTTCTTTGTTTTTTAGTTGGTTTGTCATTGACCTTGTAGATTCTGCTGGCTGTATCTTTTTGTGTCAGTTGCCTTGTTTTTCTTTTTGTTTTCTCTCTTTTCTTGACTGGGTGTAGATAGAGAGAGGTCCAGAACACTTACTTGATTGTCTTCTCACAAGGAGCAGTGACTTAAGGCTTTTTATCGAGCTTGTGGATGGACAGCCCTCCTGTGTTTCTGATCCACAGCAGTTGTTTTCCTTTGTGGTTCTTGAAGTGACACCTGGAGCCAGCCAGAGTCTTCCAGCAAGCTTCTTTCTGGGCCTTGGCTACTGGTGGTCTTGAGTGACTTGGTATTTGGCGGGATGTCCCTCCTGTGCATGTCCTTCCTGGGGTTTGAGATGGCTGCTTCTTTCAGGAGTCCTTGTTCCTTTAAATTGTTTTGATGTTAGAAAACCTGGGTATCTTTTACAGTAGCATTCTTTCTTCCTAACAGCATCAACATGATTGATTGTTTTTTTCTGTAAACATAGGAACAGTGTTACTGTTAACAATAGGGTTCAGAAAACATGTTGAAATTTTTTCGAAGTTGGTGTTTCTTACAAGGATATACTGTTAAATTGCTGTGTTTTAAAATCACACAGTTCCTATCTGTATGGCCGTGTTCCCTTATTGATTTACACTTGTTTCTTACTTTTAGAAGTTTGTGTCTTCATAACTTACATTTTTTCATAGTTTCAAAGTCAGTCCTACAAATTAAGGTGCTCACGGAGAAGCATGGCAAGTGGTCCTGTGAGCAGTGTGTGGTGTTCTCTCCTCGCACCTCATCTTCCCTCTACCAGCATGTCTGGAGTTTGTTCTGTAGTTCTGAGGGAAATGGGAATAGATAATCTTGCTATTCTAATTATGCATTGGTTGTGAATATTTTTAGCTTTTTGACCTAAAACTTTTACTTCAATCTGTAATTGTATTCAGCAAAGAAGATATTTATTACAAAGTTACAAGTTAGTTATTACAAAGTTACACATTAGTTACAAAGTTCTTTTACTTGTTAAAACAACAATAGCATAACCATTTGAGTTTAAACAACAAAAAATCACTCTATTGATCCAGCCTGACCACAGAGGTTTGGTCTGGCCTCCACCTCCATGTTTCTTGTGTAATGTCACATCAGGGGCTTCAGAATTGTACCTTTGGACATTTACTCTTTACACCTGATAGTTGTAGGGTTTGCGATGTGAGGATTGGAAGAATTTCTCTGAAGCCCTTTTTAATCATAATTTTGGTCTGGAAGGGTTGCTCGGTTCCAGGCCTATCTCTCCTGCATCGAAGGTGTCATTGCTTGTCCAGTTTGAGTTTACAGCCACGGTCCGGCGCGTGAGGCTGGGTCTGTGAGTGGGAGGCAGTTTCACACCTGTGTTCATTCCTGGGCTGGTATTAATGTGTTTTGTTTGTGTATCATTCTGGTCTCCACACAGGAGGTGGGCTCCATGGACTGTGTTCGGAAATGTGTGGTCACTGTCCTGCCCTAGGCCAGTGATTGCTGAGGACTCGGGGCTCTAGCACATTTCAGCGTGGGTTCCAGACGGCTCCAGCTTGCCACCCCAGCTCGGAGCTCTTGTTTCTATCCTCAGTGCACTGAAAACAAGTCCTAATTAGATACTTCACAGGAATTGTAGGACTGGTGACTTCAAACAAACAAACAAACAGACTAGGACTAGGACTAGGAGCAGGAGGGACTTCTTGATTCTTTAAATATTTTAATAAGGCATTTTTGAGATCCAGGATTTTTTTGTTTAAATGTGTCCCGTGTTCTATCAAGAATTTGTCATGATTTATAACTACATGCAACCAAAAAAGGCAGAGAAATATAAAGAAGCAAAAATTTTAAAAAGCACAAGAGGAGCATTCAGAAATACCTCCCTGTGCCAGCTGCTGTCAGACCTGAAGGTACTGGCCAGAGGAAGGAGCCTGAGGTGTCCCTGAAATGAGCAGAGTCCTCCTTGGAGGAGCCCCAAGCACGAATTCAGATGCATGTGAGTCACAGTAAAAAGCTGGCTTGCAGTATCAATTTTTATAAGTCATTTGAGTGTTTATTTAAACCTTCTAATCCACATTAGTGGGTTAAATGTAACATGTATGTACATTTTTTAAGAAAGTAGGAAGCTTTTTGCATGTCCCTTAGCTGGTACTCCCAGATGCCCATACCTATATTCCACTGATGTCTGGGTACTTTGATAGGAAATTTTGATGGGCATTGTCAATGAGCTACTGAAGAGTTTTAAGCTAGGGATTTGAAAAGCTTTCAATTTAGCCTCAGCTTCAGATCTAGAGAGATGATTGTGGAGGCAGCATAGAAGCTAGATTTGAGGGAATCGTGAGTAGACGCAGCAGGCCTAGGAAAGCCTGTGTTGCCCATAGGAGGCAGAGGACACAGCGCATAGAGGGATGTTGGAGGGTGGAATACTGGGCCCCGGGAAGACTGGGTTTTACTCAGCAGTGTTGGACAGAGGTTGATAGGCTGTGGAGCGAGGGAATGTTTGGGGTGGAAGATGGGTTAACGTGTGTCAGGTGAGGTGCTGGCATCGTGTGGGGTATCTTTGGGCTGGTGACTCAGTGACTGAACTAGAGCCCAGCTCTTTGGTGTCCGATGGAGGTGGAGAAGGTTATCTGTATGGGTGTGGGTGAGGCTCATTGGAGAGAAAGCGCACTGGTGATGAAAAACAACAGCAAGCAGAACAGTTAGGCAGTGTTCTAGGGGCCCAGGAAGAAAACAGAAAAAAGACCCCAGGAATTCAGAGTAGAAACAGTAGAATTCGCAAGCAGAGCTTCTCTATTAAAGGGATGGCTGGGCACAAAAGGAACATTTTTATATATGTTAGATTCCCAGGAAAACTCTTTAAGAAAGTAAATGCTGTGGGCAAAGCAGCTATTTGTAGTTTTTAAAAAATTATTATTTGTTTTTAGATATACATGACAGTAGAGTGTATTTTGACACATTATATATACATGGAGTAGAACTTATTTTAATTAGGATCCTATTCTTGTGCATGTACATGGTGTGGAGTTTTGCCGGTCATATATTCATACATGAACACAGGAAAGTTATGTCCAGTTCATTCTTTTGTCTTTCCTTTTCCATTTCCCTCCCTTCCCTTCATTCTCCTTTGTCTAATCCGCTGACTTTCTATTCCCTGCCTCCCTTGTTGTATCAGAGAGAACATCCAGCCATTAGTTTTCTGCATTGGCTTATTTTACTTAGCATGATAAGTCTCCAGTTCCATCCATTTACTAGCAAAAGTCATTCTTTTTTGTGTCTAAGTAATATTCTGTTTGTTTATATACCACATTTTCTTTATCTGTTCATCTCTTGAAGGGCACCTAGGTTGGTTCCATAGCTTAGCTATTGTGAATTGAGTGGCTAATAAACATTGATGTGGCTGTGTCACTGAGTATGGTGCTTTTAAGTCCTTTGGTTATATGCCGAGGAGTGGGATAACTAGGTCAAATGGTGGTTCCTTTTCAAGTTTTCTGAGGAGTCTCCATATCGCTTTCCATAGTGCTTGCACCAATTTGCAGTCCCACCAGCAATGTATGAGTGAACATTTTTCCCCACATCCTTACCAACATTTATTGTTTCTTGTATTCTTGATAATTGCCATTCTGACTGGAATGACATGGAATTTGTATTTCTCTAATTGCTAGAAATGTTGAACATTTTTCCATATATTTGTTGACTATTTGTATTTCTTCCTCTGTGAAGGGCTTGTTCAGAGCTTTTGCCTATTTATTGATTGTGTTATTTGTATTTTTGGTGTTAAGTTTTTGAGTTCTTTATATATCCTGGAGATTAGTGCTCTATCTGAGGTACCTGTGGTAAAGATATTCTCCCATTCTGTGGGCTCTCTCTTCTCATTCTGTATTGTTTCCTTTGCTGTGAAGAAGCTTTTTAGTTTCTACAACCCAATTTATCGATTCTTGATTTTACTTCTTGCACTTTTGGAGTCTTGTTAAGCAATTCGATTCCTAAGCCAACGTGTTGGAGAGTTGGCCCTACATTTTCTTCTAGAAGGTGCAGGGTCTCTGGTCTAGTGCCTGGGTCCTTGATCCATTTCAAGTTGAGTTTTGTGCAGGGTGAGAGATAGGGGTTCAGTTTCATGTTGCTACCTATGGATTTCCAGTTTTCCTGGTACCATTTGTTGAAGAGGCTGAAGAGGCTATCTATTTATTCTCCAGTACATGCTTATGGCGCCTTTGTCTAGTGTGAGATAACTGTATTTATGTGCATGTGTCTCTGCGTCTTCTTTTCTGTCCCACTGGTCTTCAAGTCTGCTTTGGTGCCCGTGCCATGCTGTTTCTGTCACTATAGCTCTGTGGTATAACTTAGGGTCTGGTATTGTGCTTCTGCTTCCATTTTTCTCACTGAGGATTGCTGTGGGTATTGTGGGCCTCTTATTTTTTCAAATGAATTTCATGACTGCTTTTTTCTGTTTCTAGGAAGAATGTCATTGGAATTTTAATAGGAATTGCATAAAATCTGTATAGTGCTTTTGGAAGTATGGCCATTTTGACAATATTAATTCTGCCTATCTAAGAACATGGAAGATTTTCCCATCTTCAAAGGTCTCCTTTAATTTCTTTCTTTAGTGTTCTGTAGTTTTCATTGTAGAAGTCTTCCACCTCTTTTGTTAGATTGATTCCCAAATGTTTTATTTTTTTGAGGCTATTGTGAATGGAATGATTGGTTTAATTTCTCTTTCAGTTGATTCATCATTGGTATATAGGAGTGCAATTGGTTTGTAGGTGTTAATTTTGTATCCTTCTACTTACTAAATTATTCTATGAGTTCTAGACGTTCTGTGGTGGAGTTTTTGGGGTCCTCTAGGTATAGGGTCATGTCATCAGCAAATAGGATAGTTGGAACTCTTCTTTTCCATTTGTATCCTGTAATTTCCTCTTTTGCCTAATTCCCTTATCCTCCACCTGGCTTGCAGTGGGCCCACTTTGGCTGGTGTCTCAGCTTGTGGCAGCAGGAGTGGAGCTGGGGATTTCTTCCTTATTTTATTATATCCGACCTCCTGAGTCCCGAATCTGCTTTTGAAGGTCCAGTATTAATTCCCAGTAAAGTCCTTTTTTTCTCACCTACCTTCCTCGGAAGTGGCCTGTCTGCTTTCTTGGTTTCACACCATGGATCATCCAGGAAAGTGATCTCCTCTATTCTGCCATCTTGAAAAAACTTCACTCTTTATGGTTAATATTAAGGGACTCAAAAGTATTAAATTCAAGTTGTTGTCTGTCTGTTTTAATGAATTAATTACTTTGAAAAATGGACCTGATAGCCTCCAGTAGCCACTGGCTCAACTGTGGGTGAGTCTTCCATGCAAACAGGCTTGTACTGCACTGTCAGGCTTTTAACATGCAAGTGTGTTCCCTCTGTGAGGTCTTCAAAGTGCAGTTGGCCCCAAAATGCTCTGTATACCTCAGTTAATTGATTGGTGGTGCAGATATTCTACCAATTGTTGTCATGGGTTTTCTCACTGAGACATTCATTAACTGTAAGAATTTCTGGAGAGTCACTCCTTTGTCTACAAGTTCTCAGCACACAATCCTGGGAGCATTTGGGCACTACAGAAAGACATGGGCCTGGAGTTAGGGTGCATTGGAAACCTGTGCACAAACTGAACCTCAGTGTGTTCATTTTCAAAATGGGGAAATAATGTATCTGTCGGTCTTAAAACTGATGTGATGGACTTTAGTCCTCCTCTTCACTTTCTCCTTCCTTGTCAGGTGTGGGAGGGTGTGTCTGTGCTCTGACAACATAGTTTTGTGCTTATAAAACTAGAAATCTCTTAAATTGGACTGTACCTGTTTATTGCTTTTTTGTGTGTCAGAAAGACTCAACATTCACTATACTAAAACTGAATCATCATTTTAGACAGATGTTCTAAAATATTCAGATAGATAATAAAAGTAATTCTATCCAATAACTGAATTCATTTGGCCACAAGAATATGAATTGTACAACTGCCTCATTGTGATATCTTCTTTAAAAGAGTACCAAGTGGCTCAGGATTAAATCATCTGTGGGACCCATGCTGATTTTTAAAGTGACCTGGTAAATTTCATCCATAAATTTTTTTTCAGACCAAATAGTGAACATGGTCTGTAACTTTGGGATCAAAAAGGAATTGTTTGAGGATTTAGAAAATGTACATTTTTAAACAAAAATTAGGTTGCAGTTTTCTTTCTTTATTTGCTCTTATTATCATGATAGTTGGGTTCATTTTGACATAATCATACATGCATGGGTTTTAAGTTCCTCCATTTCAGTTCCCGGTGCCACCTCTTCCCACCCCCTCCTTCCAGTCATTTTCTGCAGTGACCTTCCTCTATTCTGTAGTCTTCCTTCCATTCGTTTATTCATTTTTAATCAGTGTGTTATAGATATATGTGAAGGTGGAATTCACTGTGGTGTATTTACACATTCACATAGTATAATTTTGTCAAATGCATTTGTATTTTTCTGTGGACATCTCAGTGAGGTTGCAGACTCATCTTGTCAGTTTTTAGAGCAGGTCTTGGTCTCCCTGGTTGTCTGGTGTGCAACATGAAGATGCCACCTGGGCCTGTCTGCACACTTCATGCCTGTCCTGCCGTACACACATGGCTTGCAGATTTTTTCAAATCTGCACCTGGGGCAGATCGTAGCTTAGGAGGGGAAGTGTCCCAGTAGGTAGACACATGCCTTGTTCTGGCTCACTCCTGAAGTTGCCCTCCTTTGCCCAAAGCTGGAGTCCTTTTTGTTCCGTGGTATTTTGCCTTCCTCCCTGCAGGTGCCCATGGATAGAGATGTTTGCATGCATTGGTACACATGCTCACACTCATTCTCAAAACTCTAACTAGAATAAAACCCAAGGTCGTGATCAGGTCAGGAAGTCCTGTGTGATCTGATCTCAGCCAGTCTCTGACTGTATCTTCCCCCTTTCCCCTCACCTTATCCACCCTGACCAGTGAGCCCAGCTAGGCCTTCATCAACCAAGGGCCTTGGCACGAATAGGTGCCCTGCTCAGGAAGCTCCCCTGTCAAGTCCCTCAGGTCTCAGTGGCCTTGGCAATCCCCCAAGCTTAGGAAGCCCTGGCTGCTCACTCTCTCACAGCCATACTTCCTGTTTTACATGTGAATCGCCATCTCGCAGCATCTGTTCTCTTGTTAGTTCTCTCCCCTGCATCCTACCTCCCATCCAGAATGGGAGTCTTAGAGGGCGCATGTCCTCAGCTCTGGCTGGTGTGAGGGTGCCCTTGGTGGAGATATGCTGGAAGCCTTATCTCCACCAGATAAGGGGGCTGGGCCTAGCAGGTTCATATCCTTACACTGGTGTGGTCTCCCAGATTCTTAGGAGACTATAATTTACTGTGACTCAATCACCAAGATGTGGTTCATGCTAGAGTTGTTGAAGAAGGGAACATGGGAAATACTCAGCAGCCAGAATAATTGCTTCAGAATTCAGAGGCCCAGGGAGTCATGGAGATTCAGAACTTGCTCCAAGAGATCCTCAGACCTCTGGGCAGCTCCTAATAGGTGGGAAAGCTGAAGACTGAAAACAGGAGCATGTGCCCATCACACTTTGGTATGGGGACATGGAGCCTCTTACCTTCTTTCCTCAGGCTCTCTCCTGTAGATGGGGCTTTTGTGCTTATCGAGCCTGGGCCATAAGTAGGATGCTGACTCCTAGGAGTGGCAATAGTACACCACGTGTGCATTTGTGGATTTTCATGCAAAAGAACCAACAGAACCTCAGGGTGCCAGAGTGCTCTGCTCTGGCTGATGTTTTTTCCCCCTCAAATGAGTTCACAGTTAGTACAAACTAGAATGTCATTTCTATCAAGGAATTAAAGAGCCCTGCTCTGTTGGCACACCCCTCATGAAAAGCCTTTGGGCTTGTGCACCTGAGATCTCCTCATTCGTATTCAGTTTTTAAAAGAGGATCTGCTTAGTGGGTTTAATTTTTCATTTACTTCAGATCGAGGTTCAGGAAGTGGAAGTGGAGGAACAGGTTGAGTGATGCTCAAGTGCAGAAGTGGGAGCAGGAGCAGGGCTACACCTGGGGGAGAAGGCTCTGGTGTGGAGAGAGAACGGGTGCAGCCTCCTCCTGCAGGGTTGCCCCCACTCCCTGCAGTGGCTTCCTTTGGTGCAGGTCTTCCTGTGGGGGCTGAAAGCGTAGTGGCGGTGCTAAGGCTGCCTGTGCACCATCGCAGTTGGTACTTGAGAGCCTTCTCCTATGCTGCTGCAGATGTCTGATGTCCCTGTCATTGGTGTGAAATAAAGTTGTACTCAAAGGTGTCAAAATATTTTTTCAGGTGGAACGTTGAGAATTTATGCAGATAGTTTAAAACCAAACATTCCCTATAAGACAATCCTCCTGTCTACTACGGATCCTGCAGACTTTGCTGTGGCGGAAGCTTTGGAGAAATATGGTCTGGAAAAAGAAAATCCTAAGGAGTACTGCATTGCTCAGGTATGTAACTGGAGTGCTATTCTTCCCAGTAGCACCTTGCTCAGGAGTTTGGGTTTAGAGGCAATTGTAACAGCTCTGCTGATTTTCTCTCCCACTGCATCATGTAGAATCTGACATGGTGAAACCATGTGTTAGATCCACATAAAAGAAATAGCAATCTCTGTTCCATTACAAAATAATACATGTTCCTGTTATAAAAGATAAAAATGTGAAAAGGCGAAGTGAAGAAAATAAGGATAGCTCAAAATTTTGCCACCAAAGGATAATCATACCATTCACATTTTGTTGTACATCATGTCATTTTTTATTTTGCATACATAGTTAACTTAATTTTTGGCAGGGTGGTGGGGGTGGTGCCGGAGTACCAGGGATTGAACTCAGGGGCTCTTGACCACATCCCTAGCCCTATTTTGTATTTTATTTAGAGACAAGGTCTCAGTGAGTTGCTTAGTACCTCACTTTTACTGAGGCTGGCTTTGAACTTGCAATCCTCCTGCCTCGGCCTCTTCTTGCCTTAACTTCTGAGTCAGCCACAGCCATAGACCGACCTACTATGATCTGAGTAGATTTTAAAACATAGCTGTCCCCCTTTTTCCTATCTCAGCAAGCAATTGTTGAATAATGAAAATTTAGTAATTTATTAAGGAATGAAGTTCAGCAAACCCCACGTTTACAGTCTGAGCTCTGAGTTTATGAGGGTTCCACTGACTGCCCTTCACCTCAGAGGGCTCCTCCTGCCTCTTTGGGACCTGTCCCTCCCTCGTGCTCACCTTGTCCTTTGCTGTGGGCTGTGCGTTTTCTAGAATTGCCCCGTGACCAGCGGCATCCAGGCAGGACCCTGTTGCATGGCTTCAGACTTACATGGAGGCTTTGGTCTTGTCCAGGTTGTTGTGTGCTTTGAGTAGTGTCAGTTTGTAGTCACACCAGTCATGAGCCATGTCCCTGTGGATGGACACCTGGCCTGCTTCCACTTCTCAGCTCACTCTTCAGAGAAGGCTTTTGTGAAGGCAGGTGCTGGGGTTTCCTGTGGACGCTTTCTCTGGGGTCACTTCCCAGCACGGCAGTGGCTCCCTCTCGTGGCGGGTGCACGCGGCGGACATTTTAGGAAGCCAGGAGCTGGCTCCAGTGATGCTGTTGCACACCCACCAGCGGCATCCTTTTCCTCTCCCAAACTGGAGTCATTGCATTTCCAAAGGGCTGGCCCTTCTGACAGGCATTTAGCACTGTCCTTTTGTGGTTGAATTTTATATCCTGGAGTCATGTCCTACCCGTGATCTATGTGTTGTGGATTTCCCCCCCCCCCCCACCGGTGGCTTTTCTTTTTATTTTTTAAATGACACTTTTCAGAGAGTAAAAGCTCTTGGTTGTGTTGAAGACCAGCTTCTGCTTTGGCCTCCTGTGCCATTGATACTCTGTGTGAGAATTGGCTTCCTTCAGGTTTGCAGGTACTCCTGCATTTGTTCCACTGATGCAAAATGCTCGGGATGTGGTGTTTTAGAGTTGGGATTTTCAGGTTGATGCTTGCTCTTATGTGAAATAAGGGCTGATGTTCATTCTCTCTTGGTTGGAAACTCTTTTCTCACGTCACTGCTTTGGCACCTTTGTCAGAATCAATGGACTACAGACATACGTGCTTCATTTTCTGGACTCTGTTCTCTTCCAGTGATATACATGACCTTTTTTTTTTTTTGTCGGTAATAAGCTGTCTTCATTACTGTAGATTTATAAGTCTTAAAATCATGTATCACAAGAAACTGTTTTTTCTTTTTCTTTTAAACATGTTTTATTCTGGCTTGTATTTCTTCATGACTGTTAGAATCAGCTCAATAGGCTCTACCTGTAGCTCTCTGGGACTAAGGCTGGGTTTGCCTCTCATCTGATGAGAAGGAGCCTTCTGCTCTGTGCAGTGAATGGAGGGCAGCTCTTCCCTGACATGTTTTGCAGGGTTCAGGGTTGTTCCTTGTACCTCTTTTGTTAGCCTCAGAGGGAATTTAATAAAGAAGCTTGCTTGAATTTTATCTTTCTGCTGAAAAGCTGAGAAGTTATATTCAATTGGAAAAATAGATCCATATTAGTTTCCATATATCCAAAAAGTAATAGCTCCATAATTTTATGAATATGGCCCAATTTTCAGCTGAGAACTGAAACATGGAAACAAGTATTTTCCTCATGTTGAAATAATGAGGGGATTCAGCTGTTTAAATGCATAAGAATAAAAAGAGCAGGGAGAGATGTCAGGAGAGCAGAGTCTTCCATGAGTCTTCACACAGGACGGGTGGTCCACACCTTGCTAGGCAGAGGAAGCCTGCAGTGGGAAGGGTAGGGTGAGGTGGGAGGTGCTCAAGGCACAACCTTGGTGGACCCAGGGTCAGTCCTCCACACTGGCTAGGTGAGGTGGAAATTTCCTTTGCATTTCAAAGGAAATACTGGGTTGCAGGCTTTTAAAGAAGCAGCAGCCCTTCTAGACTGCCTTTTCCCTTCCAGCTAGAGTGTCATCAGCCACTAAAAAAATGGCTGACGGAGGTGGGGAGGTTTCTGCCTGCATGGCCTTGGATTTGGAGTCAGCAGGCACATCAGGATGTGTTTCCTAAGGGAAGAAGACGTTTGGGTGTACTTTCTTCTTCCTGGCAAGTATGTATTAAGTAGAGGAAGGCCCTACTTTAATGCATAATGCAGGGGTATTTTTTTGTTGTTGTTGTTTTTATATATATACTGGGGATGGAACCCAGGGGAAACTATTGGGCTCCATCCCCAGTCCTTTTTTATTTTGAGACAGGGTCTCTCTAAGTTGCTGAGGTTTTGCTAAATTGCTGAGGCTGGCCTTGAATTTGTGATCCTCCTGCCTCAGCCTCCCAAGTCACGGGATTACAGGTTGGAGCCACCATGCCAGGCAGCGCAGGGCTTTATGAGATAGTTGTTATATGTAGCAAGCATTATAATATATATGGGAGACATTATCTACCAATTGAGTAAGTCTATGGATAATATAAATTTTATAAGTGTTCCTTATACTTGAAATTTGTTAGTGATGTCGTAAAATTTTTCTAAGTCAGTAATACAAGTGAAGTGATGGTGTAGATAGGGTCTGCTAGTGAGCAGTGGCCTGATTATCTTCCAGCCTTGTGCTCTGCTGAGTTATGAGCATGTGGCAGGGGCAAGGGTGTTGCACCTGATACCTGGTATTGCTCAAGTGTTTGCTGCGGAATGTTCCTGTTGAGATGTGTTACTCTGTCTGACAGTTCCATAAGAGTGCATATGATTTGGTATGCAATAAGGAATAGTCTAATATCTTTATAGTAATTGGTGGGTGATTTTACTGGTGGAAACCAGAAAACAAAGAGACCTTGACCAGGGTCATGAAGTTACAGAAGCTTACTTTGGGTTTATTGACAGTTCCTTTGGGTTGATTTCTTTAGAGGGTCACTTTAGTTTTGGCTTTCTGCTCTAATGTTTTTGGACCAATTTTCTTTTGCAAGCTTAGGCACTACAAATCAAGAGCTGATTGTTCTTTTTCCCTGAATTAGAAATTTTTTTTTTTTTCTCAGCTTGCCACCTCATGAACTGTAGTGGTTAGTGTTCTTCAGTCATCTGTCCTGTCTACCTATTCATTAGTCATTCATAAATCCTACAGATCTTCCTGTTTGTTAGATGTTGTGCTGGGATACAAAACTGACAGCTGTCCTTCAAAGAGCTTATAGTTAAGGGGGATAGAAAGGCCAGGAAACAACAGGGCTTCTCAATTGAAGTGAGGTTGGCAAAAACTCTTCAAAATGCTAATAAGCCCCCGGGGCTGGGGTTGTGGCACTTTCCTAGCACTTGTGAGGCACTGGGTTCCATCCTCTCAATACCACATAAAAATAAATAAATAAAGGTATTGTGTCAATCTGCAACTTAAAAAAAAAAATTGCTGAGCCCCAGCTGCAGGATGAGTGGATGCTGGCCAGATGTGAAAGGTGGCCAGAGGGGTGCTGGAAGCCTGAGGAACATGACCTGGTTGTGAAGTGCACATACCTCAATGTGGCTTGGCTCAGAAGTTGTGTGAAAGAGATTGAGGCAATGGAGTTGAGTGGAGAAAAGGTCCCAAGGCAGTGTGTGTGCTAGGCCAGGAAGTTGGATTAAAAAGCTAGAGTGCAGTGCTCTAACAGCTTTGCTTCTTCAGGGCAACCTGAAGCCCTGTGGAGAGTCATGACAAGGTTCTACAGGAGTGCGACCCACTGGGTCTGTGAGTAAGGTGACATGTCTGGTGGTGAGGCCTGTTAGGGTGCACTTTCACGGTAATTGTAGAAACGGGCTTGGATTCTCTGGCTTTCCTTCTGTTTATGGTTCCTGATGTCCCTGAATGGAGTGACAAGGATGCATAGTCTCTGCAGTATGTGCAGGGCCACAAGATGAGTGGCAGTTGCCACTGTCTTCTCCATCTCAGGCTTTCTTGGGTGATTAGGAAAACGTGTTTGGCTAGTCAGAACACATAGTAAGAAACAGCAGCATTATCTGTTGAGAGTACAGTAAGGATACTATCACAAAACAGTTGCTTACGTGTGTGTAGAACAAACGGTCATGCGTGTATCGCATGATCTGATTAGACTCTGATCATCAAGACATTATCTACAAGTACAGGAAACTGACCTGGTTTTGGGTGACATGTTGTCTGAAACTGCTTTAGAGAGAGTTGTTGGAGTGAAAAGATGGGCCAGGGACTGGAGAAGTTGAAGACTGCCGTGAGGAAGTGGTCTTGCCTCAGGAAGTTACTTAGGGGTTAGCTCTCACATATGATCTTTCCATATTGAAGTTTGTAACAGGGGCTGGGGATGTGGCTCAAGCGGTAGTGTGCTCACCTGGCATGCGTGCGGCCCGGGTTCGATCCTCAGCACCACATACAGACAAAGATGTTGTGTCTGCCAAATACTAAAAAATAAATATTAAAATTCTCTCTTTCTCCCTCTCTCTCCCTCTCTTAAAAAAAAAATAGAAGTTTGTAACAAATAAAAATACTCAAGATTAGTCCATTTTAGAGGCCAAGTGAATAAAATCTGCCCAATCAGTTGACTAAACTATTTATTTGAAACTATTTCTTTCATGTTTGTGGATGATTTGATTTTTATGACTAGTGAAAATTGTTTATCATGCATGATCAATTTCATTCTACAGCAACTTTTCTTTTTGGTATTGGGGAATGAAGCAAGGGCCTCATGCTTGCTGTGAGCTATATCTCTAGCCATTTTTATTTTATTTTGAGACAGGGTCTTACTAAGTAGCCCAGGCTGGCCTTGAACTTAATCCTCTTGCCTCAGCTGAGATCACAGGTGTACAACACCACACCCATATCACAGTGACATTATATTCATTCAGTAACATTAAGAATGCCTGCTAATTTACCTTATAGGCATATTCACTGTTAATTATTTTTCTTTAGGTTATGCTTCCCCCTGGAGCCCAGCATTCTGATGAAAGAGGTGCTAAAGAAATTATCCTTGATGATGAAGAGTGTCCTTTACAGATCTTCAGGGAATGGCCAAGTGACAAAGGTAGACTTCACTATTAGAGATTACCTCTGTGATACCTCAGATTACCCATGGCCCACCTGTTGTTCACCAGATGATGCAGATGTCTGCATGAATGGTTTCTGATGGCTCTTTGTTGCATGGTGTTCCTCCTCCTCTGTGGGCTGGTTGGGTAGCTCCTCCATGGTTCCATGGTCTGTGGGACCAGGCTCAACTCCTCTGAGTCTCCTGCACAGATCTTACACAGTGATACTACAGGTGAAAACCATGTCTCAGGAAGACACCAGACTATTAGTAGTGCTCAAGGTCTTTGTTACCTGTTAGCAGTGAAACACTTTCTAAACTGATCTGATGAATTATGGCATTTGGACAGATTCATTATGCTAGTGAAAGTAACCTACAGTCCTACATATTGCCCAGTATTGTGGTCATTTCAGATACAGGCTGAGTATTCCTTATCTGAAATGCTTAGGGCCAGAGTTTTTGGATTTTGAAATTTTTTTTTTAAGGTTTAGAAACATTTGCATTTTTATAATGAGATATCTTAGACATGAGACCCACCCATGAAATTCATGTGGTGTGCAACTCACACACAGCTGCAGGTGCCATTGGGCACTGTTTCAGTGCACCTGCATCTTGCCTTCCACCAGTTAAACGTTGGCACTCAGAAGGTTTGGGAACTTGAAGCATTTTGGATTTCAGATTTTTAGATCAGGGATGCTCAACTTGTAATGAATTCATCCTTGGCATTGTTCAAATAATTTCCCCTAATTATTTCAAAACAGTGATGGCTTAAAGCTGTGGGTTTTATTTTATTAAACATGGGTTTTTAACTTTCAGAGTTGCATCATAAGTTAATTGTGCTTTAATTTTAAGTAGTGGGGGCTTTTGCACCAATAAAGACATAAAAATTCATTGCCAGTTAATCGTATCAGTATTAAACATAGGTTGACAACTTTAAAAATACCTACTAGCAAACACCTCAGCAAGTAGATTTCTAACTTCATTAAAATACACACTTAGCACTTTTCTGGACAGTACAAAGGTAAACTTCATTAAAGAAAAATTGCTTTGAATTCTGATTTATTCATTTGAATTAAATCAAAATTAGCTCAACTAAAATAGGTTGTTGTGTGTGTGTAGGATGATGGATGTTGTGTGTGTGTATGGGGGGGGAAATGGTCACTGACCATGGGCTATCCACCAGTGTAAGACTCGGATCCTCTTACACTGATGTGCATTTTGCAGCAGAAGATGCCCTTGGAAGCCCATTGTTAATTGAAAGATCCTTGCAGTGTTTGCTGGAGCCTTTGCAGCTCACCAGAGGCTAGTGCTTCCTTCACTGAGTAAACCTGTAACTTGGACGAGCCTTCGCCTACTTGTTCCTCAGTAGAGGTTACTAAGATGGACCATCTTGATAAATGTCTGAGCATTTGACTGCTCATCAGCACCTACACACCAGTCTGTCTGGCTGATGGTTCCCAATTTTCCTGTTCCAGGGATTTTAGTCTTTCAGTTGAAGAGGAGGCCATCAGACTACATCCCAAAGAAAGCGAAGAAGCTTGTGGAAGGGAAGCCACTGAAGGGGAAGGAGAGAGCAGACAGCTCAGGCTACGGATCTGCTCTCCCCCCTGAGAAGCTGCCCTACTTAGTGGAGTTAAGCCCAGGTGAGGAAGCTGGTCATGCCAGAGAGTGTTAAAAATGGGCATTTTTAGCTTTGACTGTTTCTGCTTTTTAATGCATCTTATTAATGTGTCTTTGCTGTTGGCTGACTTAACATTTTCAGACTACTTATTTTTTAAAAAAGGAATCTTCTTAAAATGACTTTTATTTAAAATAACAAGCAAACTTAATATCATAAATATATAAAAATAAAGTTCATTTGGACAAAAATGAGTATTAAATAAAATTTAAAATAATGTGTACAGCATTTTAAGATAATTTGAAGCAGTCTATTTTCTTTTAAGAAATTTTTTTTCCCCAAATAACTTTAGTTAAATACTTACTCTGCTAAAAGTAGCAAATTGAAATTTACTCCTCCTAGGGCATATTTAGTATATATGTATGTGTGTGCATCCTGTTCTTCATAATGTGCGCACAGTGTTGAAAAGGAATATCTTTAAATGTAACAGGGCATTTAAGAAGCCCATCTGGATTTTTAAGTAGCAGACTAAGTTTATTTTCTTACTAGTCCTAAGAGTACCCTGCGTGGAGCATGTGCTTGAGCTAAAGCTATGGCGTGGTCGTCCCTTGGACAGAGCAGTGCACCCACGTTCCTAAAGCAATTCCACACAGACACATTCCTGTGTGGTGGATATTCTATAGGCACTCTATAGGAGGCATTTTGTTTATCATTCAGCCAAAATTATGGAATTTATTATTTAAAACAGGATTGTGTGACCTGTATTATTATGAAGATATTATTCCATCCTCCCCACCCCAAAGAAACCTCATTTAAATACAGCCCAATTAGTAATTATAGGAAAAAATGGCCTAAAAATGCATCTGTTGTGTAGAAAACATGTGGGTCTGTAGGCAGAAATTGTACTTTCTCTTCTTTGATTTTCCACCATTTAGTTTTATTTCCAAGGTTGTTTAGTTCCTTGGGCTGCTCCCTATAATCAGCAGAGACATGGTGTTTGTGGCCCAGCAGCCTTAGGAGTTAGCCAGGGTGCTGATGCCACCCTGGTTGGTGGCAGTGGGGCTGCGGGTAGCAGTGCACACTCGCTCATGCTCGAGGATGCCCAGGGAGTGCAGCAATGCTGCTTTGCCTCAGCACTGTCGTGTGGACCCGTGTCCTGGGATCACTGCTCTGTCGTGCAGGAAAGCGCTGATTCTGTGTACCTGAGGGAGGACATGGTGACAGAGAGACAGCTATTTGTTTTTGAAATTACCATCTGTTCTTTAAAATATTTTCATTAAATGCTGGAAACTATTATTATTTTCTTTAAAACCATTTTTTTGAATGTTTAGACTTTAGAGAAGTTGATAAAGAGCAGCCAACAGAGATTTTCAAGTGAAGAGTGGGAAGCTGATTCTGGTGGCTAGCAGAGCCAGGCTGTGTTTGTCCCTCTTGTTTATTAAACACTTACTTATTGAACACTGGGCACCTTCTGGGCTATACAGGTGGAGCCCTGACCAAGCAGATCAAACCCAACCTCACATTCTAGTAGGAATTCCCATTTGAGCTGCTTATTTTATACTTTTAGTTTCTCAGATAATCAAATGTATAGATTTTTTTTTAGGGGTGGGAAGATGATGGGCCCTAGATGCATGGCATTTTTGTGCTACTTCCAGCAGATGCTGATTGGCAGGTCTTGGCACTCTGCTGCTTTCCTGCAGCATGCACTGAGCTCCTGCTGTGGGCAGAGCTGCGAGTGCAGCGGTGACTAAGACCATCCTGTCAGGGAGTCCCCATGCCAGGAAATAGCCACAGCTCTGTAATAGTGACCATCTCCAGCCTGCGCGGCCTCCACCTTCTGTGGCTGCCAGGGAGAACTTTCCTCTTTCTTTACAGGTGCCCGAGGACTGGAGCTCTTTGTGCTGTCCTGAGGGCCACAGGGTTGGTGGAAGGCCTGAATGCTAGGCCAGGTCTTTCCTGCACCAAAGGCTGTGTTCTTCCACTAGGTTATGAGGTGTTCCTAGGTTCTCAGATTGCTCAGTCTGCATGCTGAATGAAATTGATCTTTTTTCCATTCATAAGAAAAGAATATTTGTACATATTAATTTGTTATGAATGGAAAAGTACTGCATCTTGACTGGGCACACGGGCAACCAAGCACACAACCTCGGTGAGGTCCTGCTGGATGCAGAGGGAGGTTTTAATATGTGGTGTGAGCTTGCCCCAGCTGTGGGAGGGATGGGCAGGGCGCAGCTTTCTTTGTGTGGATCTGAATGTGCTCTTTAAGCAGGGCTGTCGGCCAGGCGGGGTGGCGACCTCTGTAGCTCACTCGCTGTTGCTGTCCTGCCACGTGGTGACTCACCTGCTGTCCTGTTTTTCCTAACAGTCTCACTGATTCTAGAACACTGACTGGGGCACTACTGTAGTCTTGTCTGCACAGCTCTGAAAGCTGAGGGTAAAGTGTACCTTTTCTTCCTTTGAGCCGAGTCTCACTGAAGTTCACCTCTGCGTCTCTTCTCCTCCTTCCCTCTTCTGCTGCTCTGCATGGTTTCTGTCCTGCTGATGCTGCCTTCACCTGGGTCCTGGTTGTGTCTCAGCCCCAGGGAGAAGGAGTCACTTTGCCTACTACAGCTGTCACACTTACGAAGGTAATGCTATGCTTCATACTACTTTTGTAACTGTGCACTAACAACCTCATGGCAAAATAACACTGATGACCTGCTGTTGCATGTCCAAGAAATGTAATGTACTGTCCTATTGTTCACGCCTGTGCAGCACCTGTGTCAGAACCCACTTGGTTGACTAGAAGCCTATTTTGCTGCTCTTGCTTTTCCAGGTTTGCCCTGGGGAGCAATTGTGGCTGGGCCCAGCTGGCTGCAGCATTGCTGTAGACAGAGAACAGAAGTGCCTTTAGGGGGGTCTGTAGGCTCTGTTCATGCCAGTCCATTGCCCCCTCACATTAAGGTGGAGCCTTCCACACCTGAAAATCCCACATGCAGATGGAAATTTACACCTGCCTCATGTAATGGGTCAAGGTTGGAACACAGCATATGTATATGAGGCACAAGGGAAGCCAATACTTCAACTGGGGCTCTATCTCCAGAATGTCATGTACATGCAAATGCCCCCAAATCTAAGCAATACAAAATCTGAAACTTCTGGTCCTGATGGTTTTGGACAAGGGACACTGTATCAGAGGCAGGTTTCTGGGAGGAGGACCACTCTGCTGAGTCACCTGCGTGCCAGGGTGTTTCAGGTCGACTGTAGCTGTCCACTGGGAGAAAGATGCTCCAGTTCTTGGGGCTGAAGTTAGCTGTCTGTAGAGGAAGGGGAGGATGTTGGGGTGTTTGTTGAGGGAGCAGTCTTACTGTCTGGCTTGGAGATGATCAGCTGCTGTTGGTCAGGAGCAGGACCTAAGGTGTCACAGAAGGGGCAGGAGGCACCCAGACCCTGCTGCCCTGCTCACTCCTCCTGCTCCCCTACCTTGGACCAAACACCACTTGCCCACTGGCCTTGGGCCCTACCAGGGTGTTCTGGGTCTGCACAGGTATCCTCTCTGATTTCTTCTGTAGCAATGTGGGGAGAAAGCAGAGCCTGGAGAAGCAGCTTGTGTTCTCCCTCCTTTCTCTTTCCAAATCCATGGGTATAGAAAGGCACACAGCAGCTCTGGACCAGCTTTTGGAGGTTGACATTTCAAAGGAATATTGGTGTGCATTTCTCTTGTCTCCCCCTAACAGATGTATCTTTTATGTTCTTACATATTTTTTTTTTTGATACCGGGAATTAAACACAGGGGCACTCGACCACTGAACCATATCCCCAGCCCTATTTTGTATTTTATTTAGAAACAGGGTCTCACTGAGTTGCTTAGTGCCTCACAGTTGCTGGGGCTGGCTTTGAACTTGTGATTTTCCTATCTCAGCCTCCCAAGCACATGATTACAGTCATGTGCCACCATGCCCGGCATGTTCTTAACATTTTTAACTTTATATTGAAATAATTGTTCTTGTTTCACCTGATTGCATGTTTGTCCCCTGTGCTTCCTTTCTGCTCTGTTGGCATAGTGTCTGTGCACCTGTGTTGACTGCATGACCTAGTATTAGTTGCTGTTCATGCACTGCCGATGGACAACTCCCTGTGTGGACACTCACTGAGTGCCAAGGGCCAGGTACAGCCTGGCCACTAAGGAGCCCAATGAGCAGGGAGACGAGTTGGTAGGAGTCTTCATAAAACATGGTGCATGGTTAAGAGGAAGAGGTGTGGTGCTCTGGACACAGAAGAGGCACGTGTCTTAGAACTGCCCAGGGCATTTAAAATGAACAAAATTCCAGGTGGTGAAGGGAAGTGCCCAGGTCCAGGAAAAGCCCCAGAGGTCTTTATGCCTTGCCTGGATCAGGACAGGTCAATGTCCAGATGGGTTAGTGTTGTAAAGTCACGTGCCGTTCTGTGCTTACCCACAAGTCATAGCTTTCTGAAACATTTCAGAAATAGAAAGCAGTTGTCATTAGAATGCTATTTTGTAGAGTCTAGTGTATTCATGGTGCCCTGTCTGTGAGAGTTCAGATTCACTTCAGCAGAGTTCAGCTGGCCAGAACTCCGCACGCTCACGCTGCAAGGACCTCCGACTTCTGAAGCCCTGAAGCTCACATTCCTGATCACAGGAATGAGATTGTAGGAGTTCTTCAGAGAGTCGTGAAACAGGTCAGGCAGACTCGCAAGCGCCTCTTGAGGAAACTGCTTGTTGTTTTTGCCACGGGATTGAAAAGTATGGTTGTGGTATGTACATTGGGGTCTGAGATGGTGTCTAATTCTTGGAGGTGTGCATTCTCACATGTGAACTCTGAAACCAGAGAAGTCTTCAGGGGATACCCTCTTGCACCAGCAGGGGTACAGTGGCTGAGGAGTGAGTGGATGTGCCTCACGTAAACAGGCCAGAGGCCTGACAGTACTGCCTACTCTCCTCCTCCACCTCCTCCCCTCCCCTGTCACGCTCATGGAAGTTACGAGTGCTAACAGTTCAGAGATGGTAAAGTGACAGAACCCAGACAGACCCAGTCTTCCTTCCTGCCCTTCACTCCAGCTCTGCTTAAGGAACTGAGCTCTTCACCAGCTCATCTTCTTCAGGGATGGTCGTCAGAGTCACTTGTTGGGAGTCTACACCTACACCTCACCCTGGGACTGTGCGCTAGGAGGTCCGGGTGTGCCGTGAAGGTGGCCGGTTTGCCCTGTGAAGGTCCTGGGCTGAAGGAAAGGCCTACGTGTCTTTAATGATCTTACTGTTGCTGATTCCCTTACCTCAGAATCCTAGCGAAGCCCCTGGCTGTGTGGTGGGGAGTATTTCCTCTTATGAGATGAGAGGGTGAGGTGAGTGGCAGTCTTCCCACTTCACAGTAAACAGAAGCTAGTGTGCTTCTCTCTTGGAAGTTTCTGCACTTGGTTTGTTGAGCTCTCTGATGCAAGTTGGAGAGGTCTTAAAAATTCTGAGAAGGCTGAGATGTAATGTCTTTTCCAAGGGAGTCCTTTGTTTCAAATAGCAAGAACATTAGACTTGGCACGCAGAGCTCTCTCCCTCTCTCTTCACAGATGGCTCTGACTCCAGAGACAAGCCAAAGCTTTACCGCCTTCAGCTGAGTGTGACTGAAGTTGGGACAGAAAGGTTGGACGACAACTCCATCCAGGTATGCAGTGGTGGTGCTGCAACTCTGGACCCCACACTCTGCGGTGGCTCCCACATGTCCTTAGCAACAAGCACAGGGGAGAGCCTGCCACAGAGCTCACTTGTGGGTGAAGGAAAACTGTAGACCTTACATCCACTCTGAGTCAGTGAGTGAGATGTCGGCCTGCTGCCTTCCTCAAGGGCTGTGGACTTTCTCCACAAGATGGTGAAAGAGATAACTGTGGAAGCTCCTGCCAGTGGGTCTGATGCACAGTCGTGGCCTTCAGTGATCAGGGACTGGAGGTAATTCTTGGGAGCTTGAAACAGAACCTAGCACAGGATTTGTCACTTGTTTGAACTCCAGCAAATCACTCTCGATCTTCTTGATTTTCAGTTGTGAAAAGGTAGGGTTTTTAGTTTTACATTCCTTCATTCTTAGCACAGCAGTGAGACACAAAAGAGGGGAGTTTTAATCAAAACTATCTCTATATATTTGTCCATAAATTACCTAGTAAGTGTTTAAGAAACCATGTGATGCTGCTACCGCTGTCTTTTTTGTTCCCCAGGGCTGGGAGGGAACCCAGTCTTTGTGTGTGTTAGGCAGGTGCTGCCACTGAGTTACATCCCCAGGCTCAGTTGTGTGCTTCTTAATGCAGAGTTAAAATATTCCTTAAATCACGCTACTAGATGCTAAAAATGCCTTAGTGTTTTGGCAGTGTTGCATGATTTTATACTGTTGGTGTTGGGGAAAATGCACTTAAGAAAGCACCAAGAATCCAGAGCTCATTGGGTGACATTGATCATAGAAGGGGAACTCACAGTTTCAGTTTGTCTTTAAATCTGTGTGTGCTTGAACAAGCCTCTGGTTCCCTTGTGCTTCCAGCTCTTTGGCCCAGGAATCCAGCCTCATCACTGTGACCTCACCAACATGGATGGTGTGGTCACTGTGACACCTAGAAGTATGGATGCGGAGACTTACGTGGACGGCCAGCGCATCTCGGAGACCACCATGCTGCAGAGTGGCATGAAAGTGCAGTTTGGGGTGTCGCATGTGTTTAAGTTTGTGGACCCCAGCCAGGACCATGCTCTTGCCAAGAGATCTGTGGACGGAGGCCTGATGGGGAAGGGCCCAAGACATAAGCCTGGGTGAGCTGTGGGAACAGTGTGTTCTGACTGGGAGTCATCGGCTGAGGTGTAAATGGCTTGACTTTTTATTTTTTTATTATTTTAGTTTTGAAAAAAGTTAAAGCAGGATTTGTAATTTTGGTTCCTATTCTTATTAATTTGGGTTTGTTTTAGAGGGAAAAAGAGCATGACTTCATCTTGATACTGCAATTTCTAATGGATTTTGAATTGCTTATGTTTAATCTCTTTTTAAGCCATTACACCAGAACAATACTTGTTCTTTTGTAGAAGATGACAATATTCTATGTAATCGTCTTGTGTGACTGGGATTTTGAAATTTTCTAGGGAAGTGTTTTTTCTACAACTGGTAACAGAGCACACCCAGGTCTCTCAGGGAATTCAGAGCACATGAGCTCCACCTGGAGCTGCTCTGAGGACCTTCGGGTGGCCTGTTGCTGAAACCCTGGAAGGCGTTACTGCCTTTTCATAATGGTAATGTTGAAGCATACACGTTGAGCTTCTTTATTATCTGTATTGCAGATTAATAGGTATTGATCTTGGAAAAACAGCTGCAGTAGCTCTTCCCCTGTGCTATTTAAAGCATCTTGAAAAGTCCACTGAAGTGTGAGCTTTCCATCCAGCACAGACATAAACCAGACTTCTGACGGCTTCTCGACTCTGTTGCTCCCACAGTTTCCCATGACAGCTCTGGTTATCCACCCAGAGCTTACACTTTGGGCCAGGTATTATTAGTTTAGACATTGATCTTTCTCCAAAACAAACACTAAATGGCTCATCACACACGTTTGTTTAGTCGGATCTGTTCCTAGCTCCACTTGAGCTGAGGTTTCAGCAAAAGGCCAAACCTCTAGGTTTCCAAAGAAAACTAGCAAGTGCCTTCTTAGGAAAACCCATTCCTTTCCACCACCTTCCTTCATCTTGAAACTGAATATGTCTGCATTCACCCTTCCATTGTGTCCGGGACCACTGGTGTTCAGATGTCCCCTCACCAGCCACCTCCCCAATTCCTGCTCCTGTCCTGAGTCTCACTTGTACTCTTCCTTAGCCTGGCTCTCCCTGGATGGGGTGAAGTGTGCCTGTGTGCAGACTGTCTTCCTCCTCCTCACTCCTGGATGGTGAGCTCCATCAAAGACCACATGCGAGCTGTGCTTTTTTTTTTTTTTTTTTTTTTTTTAATAATTTTTTAGTTGTCAATGGACCTTTTTATTGTCTTTATTTATATGCAGAGCTGAGAATCTAACTCAGGGCCTCACACATACTAGGCAAGCGCTCTGCTGCTGAGCCACAACCTCAGCCCAAGCTGTGCTTTTCTGGAGTGGTAGCCCCTGTCCACGGTTACTGCTCTTGTGTGCAGTTGCCCTTTGCTTCTGCACTGTGATCTGCTTCCATGTTCTTTTCTACTTCGCCCGTTTCTGCTGCTGCAGGTAATTGTGATTGAGGGAGGGACCCCTGTCCCATGTTGGTGGGCCCTTCGGTTTTGCTATTGTAGTTTTTCTGTTTTTGAGACGGTCAAGCTCCTTTTGAGTATTTGCCCTCTGACTCCTGCTTTGAAAGCCTGCGGTTGTTTTTTCTCACTATGTCTCTGGCCAGAATATAAGAATGTGGCTTAGGTTTCAATAAGAAGAATGTGATGTGAAATTTTGTTGTTATTACATATTTTTCTGGCAATGCTCATGAAAACTGTTGTGGTTCATGAATTAGAAAGAGCTCTTTTTGTAAACATTCACTTTGTTCTGCTGTCCAGTTGCCACACTCATTTCTGAGGTAATAGCCAAGCTCTTGGATACAGATGTCAGAGCCCATCTACAGGTCATTGTGGGTGTCTACCGGCAGGTGGCAAATTTTGGTACTGAGGGTCAGTCTGGCATGAGAAGGTCTTGGAATGATGCACTGATGCCTCACGTGTGCATCTTGTGTGTGTCTGTTGGAAGCCCAGGGGCTGCGCTCCTGTGTTTTCAGTGCTGAGGACAGGGAGATGGGACCCATCATGGCCATGCAGTAAGTCACTCTGGACTTTTTCAGATGCCAAAACAGCATGGATGGCCCATGCTAACCTTGAAAGAGGTAGCTTTGGAGGAAGGACTAGAAAGCTTTGTGTGGTGCTGTGAATTGTTTACTGGACATTAATTATGAAGAGCAAGAAGGTGTGGTCATACTCATGTTCTGTCCTTAAGAGAGCACAGGAGGGTGACGTGTGTATGATGGGCAGCACAGAGGGCAAGCTGTGTGTCTCTCTGTCCCCATCAGACATCAATAGCAATAGTGCAACCGAATCTCATTCAAATCCCCTGAGGCCAGCAAAGCACTTCCATGTTTTTGTGACTATCTTGGTGACAGATGATGATTAAGAAAAACTTGGTGATGTTTATAGAAAGCTGATAAGTGTTTAGCCTGCAGTAAAAGCTTTAACTTCTTTCAAAAGCTATTATTTAAAGCATTGTATTATTTTACATTACAATATAGTTTCATTTTCTTAGTGATGAGGTAGAGGAATTTATACCTTCTTTTCTAATTTGTAAAATTGTATATGCTACCACAATACTTATTTAATTCTGTAGATTGAGCTTAAATAAAAATTCCAAGTAGCATGGTGCTTTGAAATTATAGACCATATATTTTTCAAATATTAGAACAAAAGTGATTTCATTCTTTTTGATTCTGTATAGCAAGCAGTACAGGACGTTAGCCATTGATTCTAGGTGATTTTAGGATCTTTTTTTCCTTAGGTTGGAACCAATGGATCGATTCTCCCTTTCTTTGTGCCAAAGAATACAGATTTCCTCAGCCTTTTTTGCTCTGAAAAATGATATTTGTTTTATTCTGAGTTACTTTTTAATGATGTGTTTAGAAGTTTTGGTATTTTGAGATAGCATTACTGAAAGTTTCCAAGGTCTGTCTTATAGCTTAAGTGGTGATATCCATGTGCTTCACAACTCCTACCAGCCGTCTCTCAGCAGGAGGGCGGCTCTCAATCTTTGCCGCGGCTCACCTTTCCTGTAGCTGCATTCTCAGAGGGTCCTGGGCACCTCAGTCTGTGCACTTACTTCATTTATACATCATTTGCAGCCCAAATATGATGAAATATCCTCTTTGTTTATGTCAATTAATTCCTTGTTGTTAAAGTATAGATTTTAATACAATCCTGAGTGTTCAGTATATGCCAGGAAGAAAGTTCATAAATTTACTGTAATTTTTTAAAAATTTTTATATCCGCGTGCTCAAAATAAAGAATTTTCTTGATGATGTTTAGAACCGTGGGATATTTAACTAACTGTTCTTGCTTGCTGAATCATTGAGAAACTTTGCCCTGTCATTTGAAAATTAATTCCACGTTTCTTTTCATTTGGCCAGGACTGTTCAGGAAACAACCTTTGACTTGGGAGGAGATGTCCACAGTGGGACAGCATTGCCGACAAGCAGGGTAGGTGTTGGCATGCCTGTGACCTGAGAGGACGCCATGGGCAGACACTGGCCACACACTGGCCATGCATCCACAGCACTCCCCTGTAAAGACAGACCACAGCGGTCCTACCCATGGGTCTTCCTGCTCTGCTGTGAGTTCAGAGTGATGCATGGAAGAAGTCAGAGGACTGCTATTTTTTCCCACGCAGGGATGTTGTGCTTTCTTTCCCACGTGTTGCACACTTCCCAAGACTCCTCCTGTGTGTCCTGTCAGGTGCCCACGGGCCTGCAGGTGGTGCCCTGCTCTTGTTATTCCTATTGCTTGACCTCTCAGACGTGGCCCTTCCACAGTTATCCTTAGTTCTTGTGCAGTGTGTCCCTTTCCTCGTTTGATCACAAGCTACACCAAAGCTCAGTGGCTGCCACAGTAGGTGTTTTCTTTGCTTGCAATTGTACGGTCTTGTTGGAACTACTGGGGCAGTTGGTTTACTGGTCTTGTAGTGGCAGGGTGGCTCACAGAACTTGGTACTTCCAGACCTTTCTAAGGGGTAGGCCCAGGGTGGCACAGTGTCATGCCTCTGCCTTGTACTGGTTGAAGCAGACCACAGGCTCATCCTGGTTCTAGGGGAGGAGCACCACAGAGGGTGTTGCTCATTGGTGGCCATGAAGCAGCAAGGGCCTGGGAGTACTCTCCCACATCAGAGCATGTCACAGGATCTCCTGGTTTTAGGGACCTTTGCTGCGTCCCCCCCAGCTGTCCACCCCGTTTTCCTGTTTCAATTCACACTGCAGTTTCTTGAGAACAGTCGTGTATAATGGCTGTCTCCACTGCTGACTCCACACTCTAACGTGCTCCTGCTGGCTCCTGTACTGCCAGGTGCAGCCTGGCTTTCTGCATCATGCTTCCTGGCAGTGTGCAGTTGTGCCCACTCCTGGAAGTGCTTGCTTTTGATTTCCAGGGTGTCCTCTCCCGAGCATTCCCTGCTGCCTGGTGATCGCTGCTTGGGCTGACTGCTGGCTTCCAGGGTGTCTGCTCCCTACCCTTCCCTGCTGCCTGGTAGTCCCTACTCAGGCTGACTATTGGCTTCCAGGCTATTCTTTTCTGACCCTTCCTCGCTGCCTGGTAGTCCCTACTCAGGCTGATTGCTGGTTGGTCCTTTTTCCTTGAAGGCTTGTCTTCTGAAGTTGGGAGGGTCGGGCCCAACCCTCAGCCTAGGCCCCTACTCTTCTATTTACGCACGTCTCTTGTTGAATTGCCCTGTTGCCTAAGGTTACACCATCTGACATTCATTGTCCCCTAATGTGTGCCTAGGGTCTGACCTTTTCAGACTTTGGTCTCCAGAGGCTTGCTTGGCATCTCCATGTGGGTGTCTGAACATACTTCACACTTAACATAGCTAATGCAAGACTAGATCTTTTTCAAACTTACTTCTCCTCCTGATCCTTCTCCACCTTAGTAAGTAATGTCATCATCCATATGACATTGCCCAACACAAACCTGATGGAAGTTGCCCTTGATTCTTTTCCTTCATTCAGCCTCTGATGAGGACAGGCACGTTGTGTACATCTGCCTCAGAAGACTCTGGAACAGCTCTGGCATCACGGGTGCTGGGTTCCACCTGTCTCCCGTCCTCCTGTTTTAAAAGTGTGCATGCAATGGTGCTGGTGCACTGCTTTAAGCCTCCATCACAGCCCTGCCTGGCTTCATCTTCCCTCTTAATCTGCTTCTGCTCTGCTGCTACTCGGTCCCACTGGCCTGCTCCTGCATGAGGTTGTCTCTCCCATCAGAAGGGGTTGAGAGCTCTGGACGCCGGGTTCTTGCTCCACAGGCCATTTTTGTGCTTCCCGTACCTGGAAAAGTGCCCGGCACTTCACAGTATTTACCTCATGCAGAAATGAGTAAGTGCTCTTGGAGCCAAGCAGAGCCCTTACTCATAAGCAGCTGTAGTTGACAAGGCAGCCTTGATAGGTGGAGAGAAGAGAGAATGAAGACTGTTCATCCAGTGTGTGCTGCTGGCCCGCTTCTGAGCTGTGTACACGTGTTCATCGACACAGTTCAGCACAAATGGGCAGGTTTCTTTTCCATACCTTTGTGTCCTGCTTCCTTCAGCTGTCATTCTGTGAGCATGTTCTTGTGTTTTTAAAAGTTAAGTAAAACAGACTCATGTGGATGTAAATATGCTGGGATTTATTTACCCATCGCCTTGTTACTAGCATTTGTAACAGATTTTTGTCATCCAAACAGTATTGTCAGTGACTGGCCAGGGAATTGGAGTCTCCGAGTGTGTCTCCTGAAGTGATTATTGTGCACAGAAATGTGTATCCATGGCATAGCTGTCACAGCACTCTTTATGTGATTAGCCCTAGCAATGTCATAAAGCATTAATGACTTTGTGAACTGTGATGAATAGATAACAAAATATTGTAGAGCCATTATAATTCTGTAATATAAAATAGTGATGTAAGGTATTTACAGTATATGAAGAGTATTGCAAAAATGGGTTATATAATCCCATTTATGGAAAATATGAAAAACTGAAAAAATACATACTCAATTTTAATCTGTGGGTAGTAAGATAAGGACAGTCTTCATTTACTTCTTACCTACATTCAGTTTCTATAGTAGATGATTTCTTGGATGAATTTTTGCTCTAAATAATTTATCATATTAATTTTTTTGAATGTGTTTTGATGGTTTTCTCTTCTTTTTTGTGTGCCTTGCAAATGGTTAGGAATGTTTACTGTTTACAAGTACTTAACTATGTCTATATTGGACCACCACGTATTTTTGCTTTGTAATGATTAGAAATCAGCTTCTGTGCTAAATTCACTAGGTTTTGAGCTGTAAAGTAAGCAGACCTTCTACATCTGATCGTAAGACTGATAAATAAACAAAAGACCCACAGCTCTTGCTGTATACACAGCTCGCAGTTCTCTTCTGTTTGCTAGCTCACTCCCAGCTCTTGAAAACAGAAGTGTCATGTTGTTCTCAGTGCCAAGTGCTTTGGGCATGCTGCTGTGGACTGGCTGCTAGGAGCTGACCGGGCTTTGCCGCTCCTTTCCCGCAAGGCAGTCCTGAATCTGATGTCCGCCTAGAGTGCTGAGTGCAAGATGCAGAGCCTGGTTTGCATGCATACTGACACACTGTGCTTCCCCTGGCACAGAGCACCACCAGACTGGACAGCGACAGGGTGTCCTCCACCTCCAGCACGGCTGAACGAGGGATGGTGAAGCCTATGATCCGCGTGGATCAGCAGCAGGACTACCGCAGGCAGGAGAGCAGGTAGGGACTATTGTATGTACCCTCTAGGAGGGAAAGCATTCCTAGAGGGCTTGGAGGCAAGAGATACCAAACTATGTATAACTGCATTTTAGAATGACATTTTAAGAATGCTTTCAATTATATTTTTAAGGTATTTCCTTTCTGTGTTATTGAATTTAAAAAAAAAATTACCTGGTTAGTAATTGTGTCCCTCATACGCTGTAGCATTACTGAGTTGATGCAAGCTGCACCTTGAGTAATAAGGTAGCTCTTCCAGATGGCCTGCTCTGTGACAATGTGTAGAGGAAGAAGTTTTTACAGGACCTTAATATTGATAATTCTTTTATTTAGAGGAAACCAGTCATTTCACCTATTTCTAGAAGAAATCTTTAATGTTTAGAAAGATACAAAGCCAAACTGACTTTGAAGAGAATCTTGAAGCATGTCAGAGGGCCATGTGTGGCCCCTGTTTCTGATGTGGCAGACAGGTGGAGGATAAATGATTTTTCCCCATGGCTTTGTTTTTAACTGGTCTTTAGGGTAGAGAACTTCTGCTTTCTGTTTCTTTTTCTTAGGATTTTTAATGTCTCACCTTAATAAGTTGAAATTCTGTGTCCTTGTGACTTCCAGAACAGTTTACGTGTTAAACAGTAATACCAGAGCTTGTGTTGTCCAGTACCTGTTCTGAAATGTCGATGGGATCCTGTCTTGTAGAGCAGGGAGCTGCGGGTGCTCTGCCAGCCTGGAGGAAGCCAGCTGACTGTTCCCTGTCAGCCCTGTAGTAGCGGAGGCAGTTGGTGGGGAAGCAGTTGTTCAGTTTCCCATCTTCCAGCAGAGGTCACTGTGCGTTGCAAGACTTCAGTGTCCTCCGTCTGAGTGATTACATATAATATTTTAAATGTGTTTATTAAAGTGTCTCGGATTTCATGACTGCACCAATTAAATAAGTGTTACTTGTTCCAAAGCTATGTGGTGTGAAGAGAGCGAGAATAGGGTGGGAATGGAAAGAAAGGCTCATCTGCTTTCATCTTGTCTTAATATCCACAAAGCAACATGTTTACAGTTCAAACAAAACCTTGAGTCTTTGCAAACTAATGTTACCATGCAAAATATTTAGTTAAAATGTGTTCTTATAAAAAATAAATTTCTGACATACAATTAACCATCATATGGGTATTTTGATACCATATTGACATAGCACCCGTATTTATTAATGTTACACATCCTGAGCAGTCTTTCCCTCCCCAAGTGGATTCATGTCCTCACTCAAACATCCGTAAGTTGAAAACTATGACACATGTTTCTCATTCCTTTACCTATACACAACGTTTTAGTTTAAAAAATCCTTTTGTCACAATTTGTTTTTCTAATCACAGTTTAACCTTACTTTTACCAGATTTGTTAAAATTATGAAATAAATAATTGGTAAGGTTTATCCAGGTTCGTTTTGTGGGATATTAAAGACAAAATCCATTAAGTAACTGTCTATCTGCAGTTTAGGTGTCTGTAAATTCAGCAGTGTAAGAGAGAGGTATAGTAAAATCATTGAGAATTTAAATTATATTCTGCTTATAAGAGCATCTTTGTTTTTCTAAATTATTGAGTTAAATCCAAATGATCAAATCATAAGCTAGAAAATAAACTTTAAAGAGCACAATTTGATGAGAAGGGGATTTACCCTTAGGAGTGTAATAACGTATGCTAACACACATGATATTCCTGTTCTCCTTGCTTACCTGGTGCTGGGGGACGGGGAGGGTGGAGGGAGGAGATTGAGAACCCAGCCCAGGCTTCTTTTTTTTCTGGCTCTCTGTTTATTCATTCAGTGAACACACCTGTGATTCTAAATGCTTGCTTCAGCAGCTCGCCACCAGCTGTCAGTCCCCACTGAAGTGTTGCTGCTGGCAGGCAGTCACCCAGGGTCTGCTAAGTAGCTCAGTTTCAGATGACCAACAGCTGCGCTGGCTTTCCATCTCACAGATACATGGTTTATTTGAGTTTGAGCTAACTTCAGGTTGATTGAAGTCAGTATTTAACTCAATGGATATTTTCCTTGCAATATAAATCACTAATCCACACAACTCAATTTTTCTTTTGTATGCACAAAGGGTAGGACACATGTTCTTTGGCTTCTGCTGTCAATTTTCTTGATTTCTCAAAGACGGGATATTTGAAAGTTCTTATTGTCTGTTAAAATTCACTAAATGATAAAGATTTTGAAATGTTACGGAAGCTAATCACTCATCTGTGTGTGTGTGTCTAGCTTTTGGTAAATATTACATATAAAGTATAGCTAGTAGCAAACTAAAGAATACTAACTTCACGGTCCTAATTACATATCTAAGAGAAAGAATATTTAAGTTAAGCATTATCCAATGGGGAAAGCAGGAGATTTAAATTGGAGTTGTGATTGTTTCCCATACATGTTTTAGAAAGTCTGTGTTTAGCAGTGGCTTTCAAATGTGTTTTGACTGTTATCACAACCCAAGGTCATCTGATGCATCACCATTGGGTGGTGACCCACTGTTGGAAGAACTCTTACAGCAGTAGAAATGTCCTTAAACTTTTGAAATAACTTGATCCTGAAAACCTGGAAATAGGTAAACATTAGCACAATGCTGGTTCTTAGAAATGCTCCAAACTCTAGTATTTTCTTTATTTTTTTTTAATTAGTTCCATATTTATGTAGTGTCAGGCCAACTGATGCTAAAGTACCTTAAGAAGACAGGAGTAAGTAGATGCCTGTTTGAGGCTGTGGTACTGAGTGGCTAGGAAAACCCTAAAAGTCTTCTTCTCTGGTACCCATCAATGTAGTTTTTTTGTGGGGGGCAGGGGAGGGTACCAAGGATTGAATTCAGGGGCACTCGACCACCAAGCCACATCCCCAGCCCTATTTTGTGTTTTATTTAGAGACAGGGTCTCGCTGAGTTGCTCAGCACCTCGCTTTTGCTGAAGCTGGCTTTGAACTCGTGATCCTCCTGCCTTAGCCTCCTGAGCCACTGGGAATACAGGCATGTGCTGCCACACCCAGCCTTGGTGCCCATTAATAGAGAAGGACAAATGATGTCCCACTTCTAGGAAGTGCTGGACTTGAGTTCCAGCTCGCCCTGGCTCAGCTTCTCTGGGTGTCTCTTGTGTCTTTTCACTGTCACCTGAGCCATAGTGTAGCATGTGCAGGACACCTGATCCCTGTCCCAGACAGGAGTGCTTATTGGCAATACAGGATCGTGTATTAGAGCTGCTCGGGCATGGTAGTCTGTACTCAGAAGAGCTGGTGTTCTGTGGGAGGGGTGCTGAAAAGATCGTTCCCCATCTGTTTGCCTCAGTGTCTGAATGGATCACCTATGAGGCAAGGGCTAACTGTTTTTTATTTCCCATTTGAAAGTCATGTGAGACTTAAAGTAGTTGTTGAGGTCCACGCAGGCGGCCAGTGGTGTTGGTAGATGTGTGACCACATTTTAACTTCCCTTCTTAGAACTCAGGATGCTGCTGGGCCAGAACTGATGCTGCCTGCCAGCATCGAATTCAGGGAAAGTGGTGAGTATTTTCAGATTCTGCTGTTAGTGCATTATTTCTTGTTTGTTTTTTTCCCATATGACTTTTACGTTCTTGTTTTCTATCTTATAATCTTTTTACAGCTGAAGACTCCTTTTTATCTGCCATTATCAATTACACGAATAGCTCTACAGTACATTTTAAGTTGTCCCCCACTTATGTGCTGTACATGGCGTGTCGGCACGTACTGTCCAGCCAGCACAGGCCCGATGTCAGTCCCACGGAGCGCACGCACAAGGTCATCGCTGTGGTCAACAAGATGGTGAGCATGATGGAAGGGGTCATTCAGGTGAGTGCGGCAGGAGGCCTGCCAATTGTGGAGTTGGCACTCGGCCAGGGAAGGCAGGTCCTTTAGCACTTCCGGCCTGCTGCATGTTTGACTGTCCCAAGGCTGCTCTTTCTAAATAAGTTATAGTAAGAACGTAGAAAACGTGTACCTTAAGATGTTCAGAGGAAATGTAGACCTTTATCTCTTTCTTCCCTATGTACTTTAGAATAAATGAAGATGAAACTGTGTGTGATGACACACTGATCATGGGAAAGACCTCGCAATTGCCACAGTGGTTGTGAGCAAGTGTTGCGACTATTGTGCATTTTTGTAGCATTTTCCTTAAATGATTATTGAAGTGTAATTTACATGTTAAAAAACAGCTGCCTTTTTTGATCTGAACAGGTCAGTAGCATTTAGTGCATTCACAGTGTTGTGTAACCCCCCCTGTCCTAAACACTCTATCACCGGCTCCTGCCTGCTGCTCCTGGTAGCCACCGCCTTAGTGTGCCATGGGCAGGCCGGCACTGCTCCCTGGGTGTGTCCACTGTGCTTTTATGGGAGTGGTCTGTTTCTGACCACATGCATAGAAGAGTGCTGGGCATCAGAACAGATTTCTCACTGAGAATGAAATTCTTTCATGAACCTATCTTGAAAGTCTCAGGACAGGAGGATGCATTCTGTTGGTGGAATGGCTTGGTTCCTCTAACTATTCTCTATCTATGGTTGATTAAATTGGGATAGCAGATATTTATTTGAAGATTCAATCTTTAAGGACCTTAGCAGTAGATTCACAGGTTTCAAGTTTCTTACTCAGGAATAAAACACTAGTAATATGATGTTAAATGATATGGGTAGATGGTTTGGTTGTTTTCCTCCTAGCAAGACCATTTGGGGGAAACCAAGATTACCTTTTAATTCCCTCAGAATTGTTTTTAAAAGCCAAAAATTTTAAGAAAATGTTTCCTTCGCATGCATGATGTAAATTTGGTGGGGTTATGATTCTCTTAAGCTAAGAAATAGATAAAAAGAAAGGACATTTTATTTGGATACCTTTTTGTGACTCTAGTATCATCATTTATAGGCAAGCATGAGTTTCCTTTTCAGTTGAGGCACTGGCTGTCTCCCTTCATGTTTGAACTTGAAAAGCACACCTCGGAGTGAAGCCAGCCACAGACTGCCCTTAGTAGATGTGTCCTTGCCAGTGTCCACTAGTCAGGGCAGTCACTGCTGTTAGGACAGGGCTTTTAAGCTTCAAATTAGTGGACTATGGCAATGAATAATTTAAATTCTGCTTCCAAAATCCCATTTATTTCCCTTAGCATAGGTACAGTGTAAGTTCTTCAAGCAGTTTTAAATTCTCAGCTTTTGCTTTGATGTTTGTACTAGTCTTTGCTGTCTCTCTCATTTCTACTAGTTAATTCTGGAATGGACACTCAGTGTCATTGAAAGATGTTTAGAAGTCCTTCCTTTGCCTATCTTTTAAAGAGATCAGTATGTTTGTGTGTGTTTTATTGTGACATCATCTTTATAGATAAATGATAAAATTCATTTAGTTACTGTGCCAATTTTAAGAACATGAAACTAATCCTTTATGTCATATACTTCCAAAGCTGCTTCAGAATCATAAATGAAATGTAATTGGGAATAACATAACTGAATGTTGTACCTTCATGTCGTACCTTCATGTTAGTGTTTTGATTTTTTTTTTTTTTTTAAACTGTCATGATTGTTTACACGTTTCTTTCTCTTGTTCTGCTGATTTCCCCGTCTGTTTTTCGCCAGGAGGTAGACCAGGTTGATCAGGTAGGAAACACTGCTGGGAGCTGCTCCTAGCTGCGTTGGCTTAGCTGAGTTTCTCATGCTGCTTCCATGTCCAGTATGACACTACAGCACCTGGACTGAAAGTTCATAACCCTCATCCAGCAACTGAACACGCAGTACTAAAACCCTTTTGACTGTGCAACTTTTATCAGCATTTCATAATTTCTGCTTAATGCACTTCAGTGTGGATATGAGATGACCAGAGTTCTGTTTCTTCTCCTTATTATTTGTCTTTGGTTCCTATTCTTTGACTCTCATCTGAGGTTGCCTGGCCTGCACATGTGGTCGGGAGAGGATGCGATAGATCAGTACTGGATACTGAGTCACATGGTGTCCGTGCCAGTGACTACAAGTATCAGGGTGGCTGTGGGTAACCGTGGATACATCTGTGTATACTGCACAGATTACCAGATAATGCACAATCTACAATTTGGTGTTTTATTACTTGATATCTGCATTTCTCCACTGATTGCATAAATCGAAGCTAATTAGACCCTCGTCTGTATACATGGGTCCTAGGAAGCAATTGCAGTGGCTGTTGCTTCCCATTGTACACATCCAAATTCCTCTGCAAGTATCTGGTATCTGTGGTCAATTCCTGGGTGAAAATGGAAGGTACTGGTCTGTCTTTGCAGCTTTTCGGAGCATTCCTGTCTGTTGCTGTCACTGTGGTTTGTGCCACATAGCTGATGGAAATATGTTCTGCCCGCAGAAGCAGAAGAACATCGCAGGGGCACTTGCCTTCTGGATGGCCAATGCATCTGAGCTGCTCAACTTCATCAAGCAGGACCGAGACCTTAGTCGGATCACGCTCGATGCCCAGGACGTTCTAGCACACCTGGTTCAGATGGCATTTAAGTAAGGAGCACATTTTTGAGGATGATACCATTCTGTGAAGAATTGAATCCTATCTTTTCTTGTTCAGTTTCCAAAGCGAGTATTGGTGTTTTATTTACCTTAAGTGAAGATGGTGCTAAGGAGCATAAGCCAGAGGTGTTGGTTAAGAGTCTTGGATTCAGTGAGCTCTGCTTCAGGAATCCTGAGAGTAGTGACACTCTTGGTTTTGCGAATGGAAAATGTTTCTAAAAGAGTACAGGTTGTTTCCCCTGTGGTAGCATGTCTGGCCGTGCCGAAGCATCGTGCTGAGATGATTGAGCTTGTCTAATGCTTTCAGATACCTGGTCCACTGTCTTCAGTCAGAACTGAATAACTACATGCCCGCCTTTCTGGATGATCCTGAAGAGAACAGTCTGCAAAGACCAAAAATAGGTTAGGCTCTCCCGTGATCCCTCCCTTTTTTCCCTTCACATTTAGCTCTACCTTCATGCTTAAAATATGTAAGTGTATGTTTTTGAGTAAATGAGATGTCTTATTGAATTTGGCAGTCTTTAAATAATAACTCCTAACCACCGTCTGTTTTGTTTATGAATGTCCCTTTTGGGTATGTCATACTAGCCATACTTTCTAAGTTTTCTGAGTGAACCTGTTGGCTAAAGAGTGATTAGTTAATAATAATATGTAGTTTAAGACCATGCCACTGTTTCCTATTTGAAAGAGATTGGTATTTTAAAGTGAGTCAACACAGTTACTTCCATAGCTGCCATATCCAGGTTTGGTGTGGTTCAGAAGGTTCTTGGGGGACGTTTGGCTCATTTTCATTCTGTGTCTTGGACAGATGATGTGCTGCACACACTCACGGGAGCCATGTCCTTGCTGCGGCGCTGCAGAGTCAATGCTGCCCTGACTATCCAGCTTTTCTCTCAGCTGTTCCACTTCATCAATATGTGGCTGTTCAACAGATTGGTGACAGACCCGGATTCAGGGCTGTGCTCCCACTACTGGGGAGCAATTATCCGCCAGCAGTTGGGACATATCGAAGCCTGGGCAGAGAAGCAGGGGCTAGAACTGGCTGCGGACTGTCACTTGAGCAGGATCGTGCAGGTGTGTGTGGTTCCTGTCCCAGGGTAATGCATTTTATGACAAATGTGTCAGATATTATGATGTACAAGAACTTGGATCCAGTAGAACTCAGAACCTTCCTTTTGTTGGGTTTTCTCATATACCAATAGTGAAACAGTGAGGTGCTAGCACCTGCCTGCTCTGACAAGGCACCACAAACTGGGTAGCTCAATGGAAGTTTGTGGTCTTCCAGTTCTTTAGGCCAGAGTTGAAATCTGTTGGCAGGGTTGCCTCCTTCAGAGGCTACAAGGGAGGATGTGTTCCAGATTTCCCCAGCCTCGGGTGGTTTCCAGACAACCTGCCTTCGAGACACATCCTCCCAGGTCTGCCTTCGGCTTCACACAGCTTTCTCCTTGTGTGCATGCCTGTCCAAGTGTGCAGTTGTAAAAGGATTCCAGTCACATGACCCCCCAGCCTCATTTTCACCTGTTATCTCTGTAAAGACCACATCTAATAAGGCTACGTTCTGAGGTGCTAGGGGTTAGGCCTCTAAAAATTGGAATTTTGAGGGACACAGTGCAACCTGTAACAAGTGGTTAACCGGTAGAGTATTGAGACCAGTGAAGTGTATTTCAGAAAGCTTCATAGTGAAAGATAAATTCCAATTTTAAAATGCACAAGCCATATCATGCCTTGACTCGCTCTGAGGAAATTGTTTATATCAAAGAATAGGCACTGTGTTTTGTATTTAAGGAAATAAGGAAATGAGTTATCTGTAGCCTCAAGACCTATAATTTTTTTTTTTTTTTTATCAGGAAATAAACCCAGGGGTGTTTAAACACCGAACCACTCCCCAGTCCTTTTTATTTTTTGAGACAGGGTCTCACTAAGTTGTTTGGGGCCTCACTAAGTTGCTGAGGCTGGCATTGAACTTGGAATCCTCCTTCCTCAGCCTTCTGAGTTGCTGGGATTACAGGTGTGCACCACTGCACCTGGCTCCAAGGGAATTTTGAAATGTGTTATGAACATTAATAATTGAATCTGATTATGTATGTATGATAGTAAAATCCAGAAGGCCATCTAGATCCAGAAGGCTAGGCAGGAGGATTGCGAGTTCAATAACAGCCTTAGCAAGGGTGAGGCACTAAGCAACTTAGTGAGACCCTGTCTCTAAATAAAATAAAAAATTGAGCTGGGGTTGTGGCTCAGTGGTTAAGTGGCCCTTAGTTCAGTCCCTGGCACCCCCCACCTCCCAAAAAAGGAAGACATTCTTAGTTTAATATATTAGTTGATATCAACAAGTGTGTTTGTGTGTTTTTTCCTAAATTTTGAAATTATATAAGCAAGTTATTGGCTTTATAAATATCACATAAAAGATTATTATTTTTTCTGCTTCTGGGGATTTGAACAGGGCCTTGTGCTGTACCGCTAAGCTACATTCCTAGACCCAGAGAATATTTTTGAAATAAATTTGTGATATTCATTTATTCTTTTAATTAGGCAACTACTTTGCTTACCATGGACAAGTATGCACCTGATGACATTCCAAATATAAACAGCACCTGCTTTAAGTTAAATTCACTGCAGCTTCAAGCCTTACTACAAAATTATCACTGTGCACCTGATGAGCCTTTTATCCCCACGGTAAGTGAGTGTTACATTGCGACCAAGTGTGAGTGTGTTTGCGAAGGGAAAATTTGAATGAGGAGAAAAAAGGAACACCTACTTCACAATTTATTTAGTACATTAGTTTACTTAAAATCCATTTTATAGTTATCTGAGACAGTTCAATGCTAGGAGCAGAAACTGCACAAGTATTTTAAGCAGAAAAAAAACTATTAATCTGGAAGAGGCTGAGCCAGGCAAGCCTGCTGCTTGCTGGAAGGAATGGGGACCAAGAGCCCAGACCACAGAGTCTGCCCCGATGGCTCTTTACTCAGAGGCAGCTGCTCAGACAGCGCCGTGGGAACCACCTGAGCCCTGAGGATGGAGTGGGTGGCTATGTGAGCCACCCTTCAGTGTTGCTTTGTGCCAGGAGGAGGCAGGAAACAGCCAACACTTGAAGCTACACAGACAGCAGTGCCACCTGCCAGTAGAGCATGTCATTGTCATGTTAGGGAGTGCCAGCTCCAGTGAGGAAGTGTGGACTCTGGTTCCACAACAGCCTGCGTGAGTGCACCAGTGTAAGTGGCATGAGAGGGCGTGTGCAGAGGACACTCAAGATGCCTCCCATCTGCATGAGAGGGATGGACATCACCATTCTGGTGTGGATGTGCTGGAGGCCCGCCCCTGTAGGGAGGCAGGCAGGATGGGGACTGGTATTAGTGTCTGGAGTGGGAGTAGCAGGGTGCTGGGCTGGGTCTTCATTGGTTGGACTGTGCATTAGGACTGACGTTTCTTTTGTGCATCATGTGCCGTAATGTGTTTAAGACGGAAGTCACGCGTGAGACTCTAATTCAAAAACACCCTCTATTGATGTATTTCCAAAGTGGGAAATTTACTGGGTCGATAACTTATTCATTTTTTTACTTTAACGTATAAGCTTTAATATTTAAGTGGTGAAAATGTTTAAGAGTGAAAAAGTGAAGAGCACCACACTCTGCTCTTTGGGCGTGGAGGGCTTATGACACAGCTGTTAGTATTTAATATGTAAGCTTTTTACTGTGTTTTCTTTTTTTGTTCTGGGGATTGACTCCAGGGGCACTTAACCATGAAGCCACATTCCTGGTCCTTTTGTTGTTTATTTTAGGGGAAGGCCTTGCTAAGTTGCTAAGGCTAATCTTAAACTTGTGGTCCTCCTGCCTCAGCCTCCCCAGTCACTGGGATTACAGGTGTGCACTGCCACATCCAGTCTTCTCACTCCTAAATATTTTCACATTAAATATTCAACAAGAATATGATGATTAATGACTGAAACATAAAGCTATTTAAGAACTGTGCACAGATATAACTATTTGGAAAAGAGGAATAGCATTTTCTTGTGTTGAACAGCTTCTTCCTATGTGCAGCCATAAGTAGCTGAGGATTAGTGGCATCTTGGTCCCTATTTAAAACGTGAGCAGCTGGCCTGTGAGTTGTCACTTCTCAAAGCCAGCTAGTGAGCATGGATGAGCTAGAGAGCCTGCTCTGTCTCCAGAGCCCCGTGCCCATGTAGGTGTGTCTGGGAGGTGGTGAGCCATTGTGATCACTTGGCTTCTGAGTGTTGCTGGTCACACACTTCAGGTGTTGAGCATCTTCTGTGACCTAGTGCTCTTTTCTGACAGGATCTCATAGACAACGTGGTGGCTGTGGCTGAGAACACAGCGGATGAGCTAGCCCGGAGCGATGGGAGGGATGTACAGTTGGAGGAGGATCCTGACTTGCAGCTGCCTTTCCTCTTGCCAGAAGATGGCTATTCTTGTGACGTTGTCAGAAACATTCCAAATGGTTTACAGGAGTTTTTAGACCCTCTGTGCCAGAGAGGTAAGTGCTGCTTACCCAGTGGATCCTGAGCTGTGGCCCAGGAGGAAGCGAGCTTCTCTTTCACTGTCTCCTGAGGACTCTGCCTGGACTTGAGAAGTGTTTCATGGTGACGTGAGGTCAGATGTGTTCGTTCGCATGACTGTGGGTATGTGGTGGCCCTGCAGAAAGCATCTGTCTTGCCCACCTGGTGAAGTGATGTTGCTGCCAGCCCAGTAGAGCAGGGGAGAGTAGCACCAACCAGCCAGCTCCACCCAACCCTGCCACATGTGCTCTTGGGGCAGTTTGCCCCTTGCCTCAGGTTCTCACCTGTAAAATGGACTAAGAGGTCTCTGAGGACTGGGTCGGTTGCCAGGAGGCCAGGGCTGCCTCAGTGCCGAGCACCCTGCCACTGCTGCAGGGCTGCCCTGCCAGGCCAGTGAGGGCCAGCCTCCAGCATGCTGTGCACGACACACTGCTCTGTGGGGCATGGAGGGGCTTGTGACATAGCCGTCAAGAGTCCACCTCAGGCCTTCCTAGATTGTCACATGACCCTGTCTACATAGTCTTGCTTTTGTTTATTGATAGAAAGAATAGCCATCTTCTGGCAAGAGGAAAGGCAGCTGCAAGTCAGGATCTTCCTCCAACTCTACATCCCTCCCATCGCTCACTGTTGCTGTGAAGTGTGAGCTTCTGAATCAGACTAAATTTTGATTCTATTCTGCTACTTTTGGGGAAAGTAGAGAAAAGCTCTGATGAGTAGAAAAATAGATGCAAAATGTAGGGATTTATTTAAACAAGATGAAGTTAAGTGTCATGTCCATGGGCCCATGATGGATAAATTCAGTGAATATGATTTTTAACTTCAGTGAATGTTTCATTTACCACATAAATTTGTTTTTCTGTCTTCAAAGGTATCTCAAAGTTTTGGTAGTTTAAAAAAGTTCATGTTAGAAAGACTGCCACTTCCCATGAGTGTTATTTACATGGTATGAGTATTGTGGCCCTTCCAACATGCCGAGTGCATGGAGAAAAGCAGAGGACCAGGTGGGGTGGCCTGGATGTGAAGGCGTATGCCAGGAGAGCCCTTAGTCCTGGTTTAGGGTACACCTGTGGCCCAGTGCTGGCTGTAATGCAGCAAGAGGCCCGCCAAGTCCCCCTGAAGTGCACCTGACCTGGCCTAGAACTCTAGGCACATGGGAAGCCTGTGGAAGTGTGGCCCTCGCCACAGAGTAGGGAACCAGGGGCAGCAGGCATTCAACTACAACAGGGCTGCCTGGAGGAGTCCTGTGCACATCTCTCAACAAGTCAAAACCCACAGCCAGCTTTATTCTTCCATGCTCCACAGTCACCTGTGCTGATCATGTGTGGTCTCTGTCATCCTCCTGCCCAGGCCTCCCCTTCTGCTCAGTCTGCCCTGTTGCCAGCAGCTCTTTTATGTTTTGCACTTCTGGGGATTGCACCCAGTGCTCTACCATGAAGCTACATTCCCAGCCCTTTCTATTTACTTTTCTAATTACTTTGGTACTGAGGATTGAACCCAGATGGGCACTTAACCACTGAATCACATCCCTAGCCCTTTTTTATTTCGAGACAGGTTCTCACTCAATTGCCAAGGCTATTCTTTGATCTTCCTGCCTTGTCCTTCCCAGCCACTGGGATGATAGGCATGGCCATTGCGCCCTGCCCCTTTCTGTTTTATGAGTCAGGTTCCCATTCAGTTGCTGAGCCTGGCCTTGGACTTGTGATCCTCCTGCTTCCGCCTCCCCAGTTGCTGTGGTTATAGGCATGGCCACTGCACCTGGCTCATCAGCTCTTTTAAAACCAGCGTGTGTTTATGACCCTCACACTTGGCAGCCTTCCCAAGAGTGACTCTTCTGTATTTCTTCAGTTGCTCTACACTTCCACTGTACTTGAAGGGGGCCATGCTCCCAGAGGTTCCTCCTGCACAGCAGGGCATGGAGCTGATGCTCAGGTTACTGGTCCACATGAGGGTGATCTGGAGCAAGGCCCAGCTGCTTCATGGCTTCTACCCATGCCTGCAGAGCTGCTGCAGGGAGACCAGCTTACTGATGTTTTAAGAGTGAAAAATGGTGAAGAGGTGAGCCAGGTCTGCTGCATGGGCAGATGCCCACATCTGTGCCATTCTCTGGCCCTGTCATTCTTCCTCTCCTCTGCTGAGTGAAAAACCTGATATACATTTTCGTCTATTAACATTCTGAATGCCACTGAGGGTCTCCTAGTCTGCAGTAAACAGTTCTACAAGGAATTTATGACCTGATAATTAATTTCTTTCAGAAGTAATAAAAAAGTCATTTGGGGATCCAGAGGAAAGAAAGACCCAATTTCACTTTGCTGCTGAAATCCTGTTGGATCAAAACCAGTATATAATTAAGTATCTGATAATCGGATTTGTAGAGAATGAAGGAGCAGAGAGGAGTCGGCCCTGTGAGATGCCATGCTTGGGTAGTGTCTGGCTTGCTGGCAGGGCCAAGTGTTCTGAGAGCTGGGCTTTTCCCTGTCCTAACACACCTGTGTCCTCCTAGGGTTTTGCAGGCTGATTCCTCATGTGCGCTCACCAGGTACTTGGACAATACATTTTGAAGGTGCAGATTATGAGAGCCACTTTCTGCGTGAGAACACAGAACTGGCAAGTAGTCTGAGGGTGTTGGGTGGGCCTGTACTGACTTGAAGATGTGATGCGGATGTGTTCCTTGCTTGCACTGAACTCTGTTGTGATGGGAAATATTTCAGGGCCCTCTTAAAATACCAATTTGATTCAGACATCCTAAAACCATGATTTATAAAGATAACATGCATTTATATATACATACATTTCCCTGGGCCGCATCTATCTTACTCTTTCGTCTATTAACAAATTGTGCTGTTTAAAGAATACTGAAGTTCAGAATTATGCCAGCCTTAATGTTAATGCATATTTTAAAAATGTAGTAAAATGGTGTTCTTAACAGAGTTTATTAGAAAAATATTTTTCCTTGGCAAAAAATATTTTATTCTTTTCTAGTCAGTTCTACCTTTTCTTAAATGTACATCAGGTTTTTCACTAATATTTTGCATCTTTTGAAATAGTAAAGAGCTTCTAGATCTTAAGGGAAATTTCTCCTTTGCTTTGTACACAAAGTTTTAAACAAAAAGATGCTCATTTGTATATTTAATTCAGAGCAATTTATTTTGGCTCTTCTAGCATACCTTAAATTTGAGTAGCAGAGCCATCTCCAAAAATTGATTGATTGCTCTATTAGACCAAATGTGTAATCACATTTAACTACTGATAAACCATCGCTGATTATTGTTTGCCAAATTCATAGTTATAGCATCCACTTCTGACTACCAGATTTTTATAGGAAAACAAGTACTTTGCTAGAAGGAATCCCCAGTTCTTCACCTTCTAATTCTTAGATTCTTTAGGAGATTTCAAGTCTTGATTTTTTTTTTTAAATTCCTTTATCACCTGATTTTATTTTTTTCCTTCAAAATGTTTTCTCTCAGGCTTGCTGTTGTCCCATAACTAAGTGGCCCACGCGTGGCCACGCTGCTGCACATGGCCTGGGTTTTGCTGCCTAGCTTCTGTGGCCTGTGTGCTGCTGGTGTGTCTCAGGTTTTGTCCCTACTTTGGGATGAGGCGTGGCATGTATAGGACACGTGGCTTTGGACGGCTTCTCTTTCCAGTTTGATGAATCAGTTCAAGCCTGGCCTTGTGCTTCGACTCACCCCTCTGGGTAGACCTCCCCACCACCACCACCCCCCGCCCCCGCTGGGCTTCTGGCAGGGACTCTGAACGCCACTACACAACTCCTGCAGCCACTTTCTTTTCCATTTAAAATAAAATGATGTTTCATTTTCCCGAGAGACTAAAATATTAGGTTGTCTTTGGTATAGCTGGGTTTTGCTATCCTCGTTACAGACCATATGAAATATGTTCAAATTTCTTCTTTGAACCCCCGCTCCCCCAAAAAGAAACTGGAGGGGAAGGTGAAGACAGGATTTCTGTCATAGGGGAAGGTTTTCTAACATGAGAGCAGTGGAAATTCATCTTTGTTTTTATTAATTAAGTTCTTAAAAGAACATTTAAATAGTACTATTGTCAGTCCTCTCCATGCTCAAGAGCGCCAGTATTCAGTTCTGCAGGTCACTGTGTGAGGCTGAGGTGGTGGGTCTTCCTCTCCTTTTCCTCATAAAGTGAGCCTTTGTTTTCCTCCTTCAGGCCCAGCCTTTGAGGAAAGAGCCTGAAATAATCACTGTGACCCTAAAGAAGCAGAATGGAATGGGCCTCAGCATCGTGGCAGCAAAGGTAGGGGAGTGAGCCTGACAGCACCCCGCCCCGTCTGGGGCAGGAGCTGCAGCCTGAATGAGCCCCTGTGCTGGCTGATGACTGTGGGGTGACTCTTGCTCTGAGAATGTGGCTTGGTGGGTGGTGCCCATGAAGGCAGTGAGAAAGTGTGGGCCCAGGAGAAGCCTGCACAGGTCTACCGCCTCCTCACAGCGGGTGTTGGCGTCTGAGAGCCACTGAGGACCTGCCTCGCAGGTGTTCCCTTGCAGAGGTGGATTGGGGTTCAGGAGACCTCGGCTCATCACTCTCCTCTCAGGTGTTTCCTGCTGGGCTGCCCCCCAGGGCTCTTGGGATCTGAGTTCTGGCACCCACTAATCTGGCAAGACATCGACAGCCACACATTCTCTTTCAGTTAAACAATTGGAATTACTACTCATAGTCTCTTCCACTGTGGATGTTTAAGTCTGGTTTGTGTGTCCTGAACTTTGGTGGGTTCATAGACGATTTTAGAGGAACAAACATGATTGTTAAAGCTAATATTCAATAACAGTTCAGTGAACTCTGCTAATATTTTGTTTAAAATAATGCTTTACCAGTAAAATTACCTGTTTCTCATCTCTAGGGAATGTGTTTGGAAAGCTTGCAGATACTGTGCAGCACTACGATAGCAGTGCCCTGGGTGTTGCAGGCTGTTAGCATATCCTGAGAAGTGTTTTTAAACTGGTAATAGTAACGGAAATATAGTTTGAAATTTGTCTTTGTACCAAATGTCTATTATCTTGAGTGTGTTCATCAGCTTATTGTTACTGTAACCAAAATACCCAACAAGAACAACTTAGAAAAGGAGAAGTTTGTTTTTACTCAGTTTTAGAGGTCCTGTCCATGGTTGGTTGTGTCCAGGTGAGGGACAGGTGAGACAGACATTATGGCGGAGGAGCACTGCTCTGTTCCTTGAAGCCGGGAAGCAGAGAGACAGACAGGAAGGGGCCATGGACAGAGTCCCCAAGGCTGCACCCCAGTGAAATACCTCCTCCAGCTACACCCTACCTCCCTTTGGTTACTACCCAGTAGTCCGTTTAAATTGGTGATCCATCAAATGAATTAATCTACTAATGAGGTTACAGCCTTAATAATCCAGTCTTTTCACCACTGAACATTGGTGACATTGCATAACATAACAAGAGACATTTTTAGATCCAAATCATAACACTGAGTATTCATTGGAAATAAACAAACTGTCCTTTGAAACCCTGCTGTTCCCATTGCCCAGGGATCCACAGTATTTCAGCGATTGGCATGAGGGCACAGAGGCAGACCATGAGGCTAACACTGCACCCAACATGTGGAAGAGAAGGGAGCTTGCTGAGTTCGTGGCTCCTGAAGGCAGTGAGCTGAAACATGCAGGCCTCCTAACATGGGATTCCTATGGACACTGTTGCCCTTTCTTGGAATCTTTGTTCCTTATGCTCCTTCTCAAAACAAGGCTCAGGTGTCCTACGTCCGAAGATTTCACTGGCAGCCTACCCTCTCATTGCTGTCCCTCTGTGATTCTCTTTGAAGCACATTCTGCAGCTGGCAGTACATCACTAGGCATTTGCTCTCCCGAGGGCTGACTGCAGAGCCTTCTCTCTAGCACCCTCATTCCCTGACAGTCTTTGGCAAACAGTAGGGGAAAATATTTCTTGAAAAACAAAAAAAACAGGATAAACAAGAATAGTTTTTTTTCTTTTAATTTAAAGAATGGCATTTGATTTACTGTCATGTGTCTTTAATCATGGAAGTTAATTTACATAACACAATGTTACCAGCTGTGGTCACATAATGTTCACTAGGTTAGCTCTGAAGTTTGTTATCCATAGACTGAGTCACAAAGATCCAGTTCAAGTACCATGAAACTTTGCATTTGCACATTTTAGAAAAGTGAGAAAAAAAGAGGTTATCGGGGCTGGGGATGTGGCTCAAGTGGTAACGCGCTCACCTGGCATGCGTGGGGCGCTGGGTTCGATCCTCGGCACCACATAAAAAAAATTAAAAAATAAAGATGGTGTGTCCTTAAAAAAAAAAAAAGAGGTTACTGCCCTAGAAGCATTGGTGGAGCACTGTGGAAACCTTGAAGCCAGCTGGTCCCTGGATTGTGTGCTCCTATAAGAAAGGCCTGAGGGAAGACTGGTTGGGCCACAAGATAAGTGGGGCCAAGCAGACCAGCCCTGTGGCTGCTGTGCTGGATGGCCTGGCCCTCATGGCAAGGGGGTGGAGGCAGGGAGGGCAGTGTGGAGCCAGCTTCGAAACTTGAGTCAGCTCCACCAAGGAATGAAGGGTTTGCTGGTGAGGAATAGGGTGCTGACACTGACAGTTTTCTGGCTTGGTGTGGAGTACAAGGGCCTGGACTGCCGCTCAGGAGTGTCCTACAAAAGCCCATGTGGAACTCAGTGGGCCATCTCTGAAGCCCGAGTCCCTGAGAGCCACTTCTAAGGAAGGAGGGTGCATGTGGAGCCTCTGAGCCTAGCCCACAGTCCAGAACTCCTGCTCAGCCCTGGTGCGCCTGGGCTCACAGGCTGTTACGTTCCAGACTCTTGCCATTTCCTTGATCCATACCTCAAAACATGTAAAGATATGAAAAGGGAAGTACCAGCTGTGTGATTCCTTTCCCTTTGTGCTTACCAGCTGGTCAGCACCCAGTTGCAGGATAAAGAAAACATTAGGATCACAGTTGATCCCAGCATACTTAGATACACAGGGAAGGCTTCACTTCTGGTGGGGTATATATACATTCAGTACTAGTGTGCTCTGCATGCACAGGAGAGGCCTGGGTTCCACCCCAGAACTGCAGAGGAAGCTACAACAGAGCAGAAGAGACTTAACTTCTGTACTTCACGTTACATGTGCAGTCACTTCACAAGCCCATCTTGCCGGAGTTTGGGATGTGCAGGTTGAGCTCCCAATATCAGACTCACTGTCATCTGCAGTTTAATCAAACTCCCAATCCAGAACCACTTGTTTTATGTTGCTGTGTGACATGGGTAGCATTTGGTTTTCCAAGGTCCCTGGTCTTCTCTCCAGTATGGTGTTCTGACACAGCAGGGAGGGAGAATGGGACTCAGGCTCCACCTGGCAATCCTCTGCCTCTGCTCCAAACTTTTGTCCTTTCCAGGCTGTCAGGTGTCAGGTGGACATTTAGGACGAGCCAAACCAAAAGTCACAGTTCAGCCTTTGCTCTGTTACACGAAGGCACAGGCAAGATGCCAAAGACAAGAGAGCTACCCTGTGTTGCTTTTTCCCCAGGAAGATTCAGGCCAGGAGTCAGATGACGAGCAGATGGTAGGAGCCTGAAGGAAGGCCTTGCCTGTTGTGGCCTAGGTGAGTGGGGAAGGAGTGCAAGGAGCAGAGACAGGCCCTGGGCTGGAACACAGACCTGTGGCCGAAAGGGCTGGCCAGGCCTCAAGCCAGCTCTGGAGCCCTGGGAGGCTGTGCTGCTTGACCTTTAGCACTGGGCCACCGGCACAGCTGTCCTGCAGGCACTCCCCACCCCAGCCTCTGGAGCTGTGTGTCCTCTTGGCACTTGCTTATGTGCAGAAGCCTCTGAGGAGCACACAGCCTCCCTCTAGAGCTACAACAGGAATTGGCCTTGTCACAAAAGTACAAGCTGTGGAACCCAAGACTAAAGTGGTAGGGGTGTCCCCCAAGGTTAGATTCAGGCCATGGAGTCCTATTAAGACTGGATTGTTACCTTTCCTAGTGTTAGGATAAACTTAGTAAGTGGCTTATTAGAATGTTTATCCCAAAGAGGGTATCACAGCCTAGTGGTGAAAAGTAGAGTATAATTCTAGCTGTAGGGGAGGGCAGACGTCTCCTTGGCTTGGAGGCAGTTTTCACTTTGTTTTTCTGTTTGGTCTTTTCAGAAGTTTCGTACAGTGAGTAGAGTACATAAATTTAAAATTAAAGAAAACAGAAGTAGTTTTTCCACAGGAGAGTGCAGTTCCTCCTGCCATGGCTTACCCCCAGCTGTAAAACAGATTGAATGAGACCGAGTCTGGACTCAGCTCTCCTACAAGTTGCTCGTTACCTAGTCGAAGTTTTCCTCTGCCTTCATCATATTGCTAAACAGCTGCCCTGTCAGCAGGCCCTTCTTCACTGGGGGCACACAGTGAGCCAGCAAGTACCAGGTGGCATCGTGGGACCTTGCTTGTGCAGGGATGTTTGCTGACGGTCTGACTCTGAGTTAGAAGGTTCGGTGAAGGTGGCACTGAGGAAATGGCTTTTGAGTTGAAACCTGATGGAAAGCAAGGGCTGTCTGATTAGAGAAGTGGGGCCGCCTGTGTGTCTAAATCACGGGCACGTGGGCCAGGTCACAGAGCTGTCAGCAACTGCTTTTGCAGGGGGCCGACTGTAGCTGGGCTCTACTTTGCAGCCTCGTGGTCTCTGTTGCATGAATACGTGCTCTGTGTACCTGCAAGCAAGTATAGGATGGTTTGCAGATGACTGAGCTTTCTGATAAAGTTATATGACAAGAGTGGATGCTGAGCTACCAGCCATCTCCTGAGGCAGGACCTGGAGAAGGTGGGTCTTGAGGGGGTGAAGGATTGGATTATAGATGAGGCAGGGACCTTCCAAGAGGTTTAGATGAAAGCAAAGGTTGAAATTCAGCTCCCCGGCTCTGTGGCACATGCATCAGAGTCTTTCAGTGCTGGTTTCCCACCCAAGATCCTAGCAGCCAGCAGGGTGGCAGGAAGCAGTCCATGGCAGGTGTGCAGCTGTGACGAGGCCTGAGTGGCTTCACAGACCCTGTTGGAGGCAGGCCTCGACTCTTGTGCCCTGCTGAGGGGCTGGTGGATTCTGGCTGGGAGTCAGTGCTGACATACATGTGTAGGAAGACGGTGTTTGAGTGGGCAGTGACTTGGGTGAATATCAAAATAAATTCTGGTTCTGTCTTGAGCAGCAGGTACATTTGGTGTCACTAAAAGTGGAGCTGCTAGAGACAGGGGAGGGCCGAGGGGATGGGGCACCGGGACCCGAGAGCTGGG